TGTGGATAGAAATACCTGATGCTGGGGGCCACCATATGGCATTTGTTGATGTAGAGGTAGATACTTCAGAGCTAGGAGATACACCACAGTCTCCGGGTACAGTGTGAGTGACGGTTATGGTTAAGGGTTCTACTACTGCTGGAGTTGAAGATGCTACCCAACTCGATGGTTTAGGTGTTGTGGATGCGACGTCGGAAGCTATGCTTGGGATGGATTTTTGAGACGTTACATCAGATGCAACACTGGCTCCCGTTTTTCTTGCTGGACAATTTGTCACAGTATCAGCGCAAGAGGTTATGGTTGCTGTGTCCGTAATTGAAACTACATCAGTTACAACTTGAGCTAAAGTGGAAGTCGTTAATTGACCAAGGATAATTGACCCAAGTCCGAATATAAACGTTGAGTGAGTCATTTTGGTGACTTTGTGGAGGCTGGCTATGATTGTAGTGTATACCAAGGAAATTTAATTGTGGTTTTAATTTAATGTCGATGTGTAAAAAGAGAGCAAGAAGAAAAAGGAAAGGAGCGTGAGGAAATATGAAAGTCTGTTAAAATCAACAGCTCAAAAATACCCCAACAAATAGTTACATAAATCCCTTCAAACTTCCCTTGAACAATGAAAACAAACACCCAAGTATTCGTAGTGAAATATTTCCAATAAAGCTAAACATAGACCAAAAGATAGGAGCGCAGAAACGAATGGCACGAGTAATAAAGTCCGAACAAAACTTAAGCAAACAGAAGCAAGACAAAAGCAACGAATGTTGGGTTGCAATATGTACACATTTCGTGTTAGTTGGAGGTCTAGAATATGGAACAGTGATCCTGCAAGATAAGATTTTGGAGAGGACTCGCATTTGGTGGAGATATGAGGTCTTCAACCTTTATAATATACGCCTCAGCCCATGACCTTCTATCTTTTGAAGGTTGGAATCTAGTTCTATGATGTCTTTAGGGTCGGGATGTTATGAGGAGGATCATAGCCCTATTTAAGCGCCCAATTTGAAAACATCCAATCATTCGTTTTTCCGATGATAACAATGTATGATTAAAGTCATCAATAGGTAAGTATGTTCAATACCAGTGTAGCAATATCTTGTTATTCACAACGAACATCATAGGATGTGGGCAGACTTTCCCATTTCCCGAGTAGATTTAACCGATTGTGAACATGAAGAACAATACAAGAGATCCAACCAACTCCATCGATCCTTCCAATACATCAATGACTCCACTGAAAAATTACCACCCACTAAAAACCAGCTTTCCATATATAAAATAACCAGAACACTAATCCCAGAAAACATCCTACCTAAAAAAAAAGTAAGATCTTAGGTTTCCACAAAGATGCAGCTGTGAGGTCATAAAGAAGGATATCGCAACACTAACCGCGCGTTTGCATCTTGACCCAACAGGAAACACCTCGCAGCGACCGACTATATATTCCTACAGCGAGGAATCTATGTATATTGAAGTCAAAGAATGACTATAAGACCGGAATTTTCGAATAAAATTTGTTGTAAGATTAGATAGTGCGGAATGTCTAGCTTATGATAGCGAAGATTATGATGATGATGAATGGTTTAAGGTTACCTAGTATTATTATCTATTCAAAATCGAGAGGTAAGATTACCCTCTCACAGAATCGCATTAATGTACAGTTAGATACTAAATTTATTGGAGATGAGCTGTAGCAATTCTTTTTTGACAACCACAGTCCTAGATATGCTTTGAATGGATCAGCCAAAAAAGAAAAAAGTAAATTCACTAGCTGAACAAAGGCTCAACTTCCATATGAATCATCAAAGCGGAACAAAAAAGATGTTTAATTATGGTATTTGAGGCACCGATACTGAAACATCCCACAAAGTTGGCTTAAACTTCATCCTCATGGAAGAATTACGAGGGACTGTGTACATAGTCGCTGGTCGACTTGTGAGGCCACCACTGGGAGAACGAAAAGGCAAAAGTCTGGAACGGTCCTGCAGACATTTTGATGCAGCTGGAAAAAACATCTCTTTCCTAAGATTGTTTTCTGTGTTTTAGACCATCTGAAATTAACGTCTTGGTCGTTTAAAGCGACAGGTTTGTCGTTCTCACCCCTAAAGGTCCATTTGATATATCTATCTGCCACTTTACTGCTGGGCTGAGCAGTACTTGGAGCTCATTGCGGATGGAATGGATAGCTCTATATCCAATAAGCACGGACGCCCATCCAGTATACCGCTTTTTGAAGAATAGCACGACGTAATTAGTCTCGCCAGAGAAAAGCAGAAGCCAGAGAAATTCTATTTAAATCATGTTGATAACAAAGGCGATCACTTCCTCGTTGACGAGCAACTAAACATCATCGGCATTATCGACTGGCAAATAGCACGTATTGTTCCTATAAACGAAGCTTTCGGGCCATCGATAGTTACGGTAAATATGAAGGATTTGTGTTCTGGAAAATTCTCACTGAGCCCTGATGATATTGCCCTGGTTGATGTACTGCAGAAAAGAGGCTTACCTGGTCTACCCGGCATTATGGATGATGAGGAAGTCAGAAGAGATTTCTGGGGTCTGGCTAATGAACTGAAATGGGAAGACGCCTTACCCTTGGCAAATGTATTATTAAAAACGTTCGGGGTAAGAGAAGCTTGGTCACAATGGAAGGAGAATGCGTTGAAGATGAAACTGATGAACGCTTGAAGCTTCTCATTGGCTTTCTTCAAAGACGGGATAAACAGTAGCGATAGATTGTCCAAGTATTAGTTCCTCACATTCTTGACTTTCGTGTTCGAAGCATGTGATATTGCTCTCGGTTGGTCCAAATCCAGAATTAAGCGTTTTATTATCCAACCAGTTGTGGCTCACCTAACCTTACTTGTTCCACAATGGTGACACAAAATAAGACCTTGCATTTGATCCAAAGCATCCATATGAACAGTTAATGCACACCACCAAACTCATACCACTTCTCCTCGAATCCTTTCAACTCCTCATATGAATCCCAATTTTCAACGGCAACCAAATCTTCATCATATCCTTCAAAAGTAGACATAGTCGATACCAGTCTAGGATTATCAGTCACATCTAATTTTACCCCATTTCCTATCTTATCATTTGGTGAATCAATATTACCATATGTAGTCCCCTCTTTGAAAGTATCATCGCGAATCCTATGGACTTTAGACCATAATGGTCTGGTGAAATGAGAATGCTTAATCAAATTCGCATGTACGAACAACCACTTTCCATATGGGTCAGCTTGAAGCATCGTATGTCCTCCCGATTGAGGGTTTTCGGGAATCTCTGCGGCTCCTACCGCATTCGTTCTTCCTGGACCGGTCCATGGCTTTCCAAGCAGAAGGGCAGCAGCCCGGAATGAATCTCGATCACCTCCCATAAATCCATAAAATTCTTCATGGTGAAGTGCAAAATACTCAATCAACCATAGAATATCCTGGTGGCGAGTTCGAGATATTAAAACTTGTCCAGATTCTCCCTCATATTCGTTCCGACCTTGCTGACCCAACAATCGCCACATAGGATTGGTGGGATGAGATTTGGAATAATCAGGCCATAGCAGAAGCCCTGTGTCTCTCCATTCTCTTCCTTCGAACAAATATTCCGGATTTCTTAGAAGATAGGAATCAGTGTCTAAATACAGGATATCATCAAATGAAGATTGTTGAATGGCAGCTCCTTTTATTTGAAAATCTTTCCATCCAGATCCTTTTGACACTTCATCCACTACGCGCATAGTGACATTGATACCGCTAGTGCCGGAATCAGGTTTTTGCAGTTCTGAGAGATCGGACAGAAGACTACTAAGTGCAGGTGCAGATAATTCGGAATCGAAATGAAAGATCTCGACTGGCAACGTGCAATTGTAAGACTTCAGGAGCCGAAGAGAGGTTCTGGCACGGATCAGTGCTGCACGATCCCCTGCGGCCATAACAATCCCTTTTTTGTCCTTTCTTTCCTTTGGTGGTTCATTGGCGCCGGCAGGTGATGCTGAGGTAGTCTTTCCGATTGCTTCAATCTGTTTGCGGCGTAAATTTGTTGCGATACCTTTACGCCATTTATAAACTTGCGATGAAGGAATATCTGCCCACGTTTTCAAATTACCATTGACAGCAGCTCGGTCGAAATTAGTCCCATCAACCGGGCAGGTTTGAGAATTTAACAAAACAGCATCATCGTAAGACAAAATAGGGCGTGATAAAAACCCCTCCAAGATTCCATTGAGCCTCGAAATTTCTTCTGAATCTGGGGGTGTCTCATAATGAAAATAGTCCTGAGCTTTGTGTGGAATATAATTCGACAAGTCGTTAGAATTTAGATGAGAAAAGCTAACGATCAAGGCTATGAAAAGCAATGCGCCAAAAGTGGCTAGAGCACGAGTTTGCCTCATTTTTGATAACTTCACCAGAATGAGGAGTTCGTGAATAAAACTAGGAGTGATCGGATAGACGGAGTGTAATTGAGCCTTTTCTAGAGTACAGTGAGCTCATTGTAAGCAGTTGAAATAAATGGACAAATTCTAGATCGGAAAGTCAGGTATGTTGGCGGCGCAGCCAACCGTTGAGTTTTTCTGTGATCTTGACGTGACAAGTATCCAAAGGACGACCTCGTTGATTATATATATTTAGAACAAATCACTTTTTTTTTTACGGGGAATTTGAAAGATACAAGGTATACCGGCGGCTATGAGAGCATTATCCAAGAGTGAATTTCAAAGCCATGTAAGGTTAAATGTCGGTTAAATATTCATCTGTAAAAGTCATGTTATGCTTAGAGATCGATATATATTTCAACACGATTCCAGTCACATGCACTGAATTCAGCATAAAAGAAATACAAAGTTTCCACTCATAAGCATTGTGCTAATAGGGCTTTTGAAGCTGCCTGCTTTCGAGGCCGTGTGTCAACAGCACAATATATAACAATATATGGGCCCTTGATCCATGTGAGTGATGACTTACCATCATTCTTTGCTGTAAGTTTTACACTTCCTAAAGACATTCATATCACAGATACCAACGACTGATGTGAGAATATATCATGTGAGTGTGCTGAAATTAGCCATCCAGGCAATATGTAGAATTATAAACCTCCACCTAATAAATCCAAAATCGCTCAATATGCATTCTCTAACCCCTTTTTCCCGCTCTAAAAATCAAAACTTGCATAATCCATATATAACCTCGCCTCCTCCTGGAAGTCCATAGTATGCTCTTGTGGAGATTTCAATTCCGGAGGCGACATAATATTTTGCAGCTCCCTCAGGGATTCAATGTCATCCATCATTCCCTTTTGCAATTTATCCCATATTATTCCATATCCAGGTTTTGCAGCGCCAGAAACCGTAATAACTCTTTTGTTCGTTACAATAAACTGACATCCTGTATCCCACTGTTCCCCTTTAAATTCTTCGTCCAAGACCTGGCACTCGTGCACCAGAGCTGCCGTGTGTGTATCTTTGTTCACGGCCCCTATGGAATACAACATTCCCCATGCTAAATCGAAGAATCCACGTCCTTTTCCAAATCGAAGACCTTTGTAATTTATAGCTCCTGTGCCTGTTACCATAAGTGATATCCGCAATCCCTCGCCTCGTATTTCCGTTAATGTAATGGGTCGACCATATCTTTCCATGCCATCCAAGTAACTGGCGACCTCCCACTTCTGCTCAGGTATCTCCTTTGGATTCAAAAGGAAGAATCCCCTCTGGATCCCATACGTCGTACAAACGACAATTTTTCCATCTTTCAGGGCTTGACATCGCAGCTCCTGAAGACAATTATCAGGGGCTATGAAAATTGTCTCTGCAGATGTATAACATGGTAAGCCGATTAACTGGCGGCACGCATCAATTGATCCCACGAAATCGCAGATGAACGAGGAATAATCGTGGCCGAAGCGTGAGTCGGGAATAGCTACATAGCGGAGCTCTTCCCAGACTCTTTCTCGCACTTGTGATTTATGCGAGGATGCTGGTGGTGATTTATGTGAAGATGCTGGTGGTGATTTATGTGAGGATGCTGGTGGTGATATATTAGTCTGCAGACTGGGACGCTGTGTTTGTGAAATTGTCATGATAGAGTTTCGTGAATATGATTGTGGTTGTTAATTCACCAATTCTGCCCCGATGAAGTTGTTGAAATTGGAGGCGGTATAAGATTATAAAGGGGCGAGGAGTGACTAAGCGGACTTTCAGGTGTTGTTGATGTAGATGGTAGAAAAAGTTCTGAATAGATACATTCGTCCGAGTCTTATTACTTGATAAATAAATTATTTCTACTCGAAAGGAGAGGTTCAAAAGGGATCGAAACAAGCCGTGAGACCTGAATATAGCATGTTTCACACATACGGAGTGTGATTCCGGGAACAGAACATCAAAGCTTAAGTATTCACAGGTAGTTTAAGGTACGTGTCTGAAACTTAGAGCATTGAGGGAAGGCCTTTTAGGGTTCGTATACACTTCTCCTTTTATAACAATAAAATGCTGCTTGCTCTTTTGTCCGACATAGAATCTCATCCATCGCGAGTGCATCCATCACTGCAACGAGGCGGAATCCGTTAAAGGCTTCGTAAAGATGCGCTGCTGCACGAACGACGAAAAATACAGGTGTTGATATTGTTGATAGTTCTTAGAAGATGTTCATCATCGTGCTTTAATTCCTTTCGCAAACCCATTACTCCGCCCCATATGCTGTTATACATTTATTACATTTCCTTAAATCATCATGGGCGTTGCCCCGAACCTGAAGGTCCCATCTGTCCTGGCATCTCCTGCGCCCCTTCGGCTTTCAATCTTCGCAACGTTTGATCGCGCTGGTATTCCATAACTCTTCTTTTCTTAAAGTACTGGACCTTTTTTTAATTAAAGTTAGCTCAGCTCTTTCTCTTGTGCTTTCTTCTGTCCGCCCTCTATGAATCCTCCCTCTTCAAGTCAGGCTCTAATCTAGGAAACTCACCCAACTCGTAGCGCAATTACTCTCAAATCCTCTACTCTCTACCGCGCATGCCTTCTCCGCCTTGTCCTTCTCCGTAATGCTATCGATGATTTCCGACTTGTCCAGACATTTAAAATAAGCATCTCTAGCTTCCCAGCACCGAGATCTTTGTGTGCGATCAGGAGCTATCGGTGCGCCATCAGCACCAATTTTCGGGGGTGGTAAAGATGCCGAAGATGAGGATGAGAAAAGGCCCATGGTGAACTATTAGATGGGACGAGATATGGAGTTCGCTTCTTGAGCTTTAGTTCCAAAAGACACCATGTCACAGAAGAGCTTTGGACTTACCTTATGGTCCGAATCGTGATATAATTGACATTCGTGGCTTCCTCTCACATCTCACCTAGACCTTAGCATTGAGCACAAAATCGAAGTCACGCTTAAACATCGGGCCCGGCAGTATTCATGTGGAGTAGTAAAAGCGGTAAACTTATAAAACCACCTTTTGCATTGCTCCATGTCCTTTTTGACCCATTAACTTTATCACCCAGCCAGCTAAAGAATCTACTACACTTTAAGATATATGAATGATCTTGGATATTCAAATTGATTAGTTCCATCTCACAAAGAACTGGTATTACCTAGTACCTGTCTCGACATATATACCAATGTGTACTTGTCTAGAACAAGATGTAGAGTCGATACCCATTCATCAGCTAGATGCAGATCCACTTAGTGAACTCCCCAGATCTTGGAATACTGGGGGCCTCGATCACTTAAAATGGAGAAATTGCTATACCAAACAGGCAAGATAAGTGCACTAAACTTTTAGTTCCGAGATCAATACTATAATAGTTTATGGTTCTAATGCCCCAAGCGCTTAAGGATAGCAGCTGATAAAGGAAATCATGCCGGCGATTTTCTTTTATTCTAAGGCTAGTACAAAGTCTAGAACTGAATTCAGTTACCATATTGGTTCATCATGATAACTCTAGAAGAGACTTGTTCGAGTGGCGATCTCTTGGGCTCTTATCATGGCAGAATTAAAGCATTTCTTTATGTTTGGTCAAGTCCCAATATCCTCAGTTCTATTTCCCCAGTCCATGGCTGAACTTCATGGATATTTCACATACAAGAGTACACTTTGGCAGCTTCAAATGAAGCTCAACTGTAGCATCATATCAACAGAAGACTTCGAAGTCCGAGCGAAAAATACTCCGCACCCTTAACCCTCAGTGAACCGTTAGCTCAAGCGTGAGTTTCTCCGAGGCATCCCATACACAAACATGTATTTTGGATTTATTCCCCACCTGCTGCAATTCAATCCCTTTTCAAATGTTTGAATGACGTGCTAAAGTATGTATCTCGACAACAAGCAGACTAGCTGAGACATCTGATTTCGAGCATATCTTACCAATGCCGGCGACTACAACGCGGAGAATTATGCACAGCAGGAATCATGCCAGTGAATCCCCGTGGCCAGGTCCGACCCAAACCAATGTTGACCTCCCATTATCTATATTAAAACATTTGCCTACGCCTGTGCTAGTACTAGATCAGCATCGGAAAGCGCTTTGGGAGAATCGGAAAGCAGGAGCTCTTTTAGGCAGCACAGATTCTTTGAGTGGAATAATAGGAAAGGATTTGGATGAACTTGGTGTCAAATTACTGGATGATCGATCATGGGCTTCGGTTCTAAATGATATTGAGCTCCTTCAATCTGGCGATACATGTTTACCAGCTGATAGGGATTTGAGCTTGCGTGATGGGCTCCAGGTCCTGGTAAAGAATGAGTCCAAGTGGAACAATCAGAAAAGAAGTTTTCGAGTCTGCATTGAGCTTTTGAATGGGGATCATGGTCTTCATTTTATTCTGTCCTTCGAATCATTGGCGCGCATGGAAGGGGCTTCAGCCAATTCGGGGACAGAATCAATACCAAATTCAAAAAAGACACAAGCATCGCTTATGAGAGACGATAATTTCTGTGCTCTCCGGAATGCAGTGTTTGATAATGTTGACACAGCGGCATTTCTCCAGACCGTAGATGGGGAATCATACTTAGCAAATCGCAAAGCTCGAGAGATTCTAGGGGAGTGTGTAGGAGGAGAGAGTGGATGCGAAGGGACCATCTTTCGAGATGCGCTACAAATATGGGATGAAACATTCACTCGTCAATTGCCATTTGATGAATATCCCGGAGTGGTGTTGGCAAAAACCCAACGACCCTTCGCTGATTATAGATGCGGATTCATACACCCCATAAGCGGAGATCGCATAACAACTATAGTTACGGGAGAATGCCTCTACGACGTGGCTGGGGCCTTTTTAGGGGCAATTTGCTGGTGCGAAGAAATTCAGAAATTTGAAGATTACCTGATGGAGAAACAACAAAACCTACTACGAAGCCATGAAACAATTTGTGATCTGATGCCGCATCTGGTGTGGACCACAACTCCAGACGGCTATGGCGACTGGTATTCTAAGCGGGTAAATTCGCAAAAATTGCTCATGTTTTGTCCTGAACTAACGCACAACATAGTGGTATGAATACACAGGCATGTCTGAAGAAGAATGTCTTGACACCGGGTATAGACGCACGATTCATCCGGATGATTGGTCTTTCCTTGTGGAAAAATGGGAAGAAGGTCGAAGAACACGTCAACAATGCGAGGTTGAGGTAAGGTATTTAAGGCACGATGGAGTATATAGATGGATGCATACAAGAGCACAGCCACTAGTTGATGGTAACGGGAATGTTTTGAAGTGGTATGGAACAAATACAGATATCACTGACGTAGTGATGTCGCGAATTGAGGCTAAGAGGAACAAACATCAAATGTTGACAGTTCTCGCTCATGCTGAAGTCAGCCTGTTTTGTGTGGATGAGAATCGGCTGGTTACTATGGCAGAAGGGGGAATGTTATGGGGCACTAAGCCTGAAAATTTGTCCGAAAGCAAGGCAAATCTGATTGGAAAAGATATCATCGAAATTATGCAAGGCACCCAAACAGGAGGGTTACCAGGTCGGTTGTTTCTTCTTCTGCATCAATCATTCATCAATATTAATTTGCTCACAGGTCATGAGAATTCTATCCTCCAGATCCTGGCTGGAAAAGTAGAGATGGCAACGTGCGAAGAAAAAATAGGAGATCGAAGTTACCGTACACGATTAGTAGCAGATCTCGAACATAGTAGTGATGATGGCGGACAAGTACCAAAGGTCATTGGATGCTTGGGCTTGAGTATTGATATCACGGACGTTGAAAAACGGGCGCAATTAGAGATTGATAACACGAGGTTGATGCTTGAGGAACAAGCAGCTAAAGATTCATCTAAAATGAAGAGTCAATTCTTGGCCAACGTGAGTTATCAGAGCCCCCGGTAACAAAATTTGCAAATTGTTAATATTTTTCAAAAAGATGTCGCATGAGATGCGTACCCCGACGGCGGTAGGTCTCTTTCATGCCCTTTTTTGCCAAATTGAGGGAGCACGATGCTAACAATGTAAGGGTATCATTGGTATGGTTGACCTACTCAGCGAAGACACAACTTTGACATCTTCGCAACGCGAATACGTGTCCAGTATCCAACTCTCTGGACGAGCCCTCCTGACTATTGTCAATGACATCCTCGACTTTTCCAAAATCGAATCCGGCCGTCTCGACATTGAAGAGGTTCCTTTTAATCTTTGTTCCATCGTGGGAGAGTTATGTAAATTGTTGAGCATCTTTGCGAATAAGAAGAATTTAGGATTTACTTATGAAAATGAGGTTGACGAAGATCTAGAGGTTTTAGGGGATCCGGGACGAATCAGACAAGTGCTATCAAATCTGTTAACTAACTCGTTGAAATTTACGGAGAACGGATCTGTCAAGATGAGCGTGAAAGGCAAGAGAATACCGCAATCAGATAGTATTGGCAATGATAGAGTTGAGATCAGTTTCGTGATTACAGATACTGGGATTGGAATTTCCAAAACGACCTTGAAAAAATTATTCAAGCCCTTCAGTCAAGGGGATTCTTCAACGGCGAGGCTATACGGGGGAACTGGTCTAGGCCTAACTATATCAAGAAATGTAAGCACTTTTTCCCATTCTTCGGATTTCCTTTTACCTATCAACATCGATGCATTCACCCAACTCTATTACTTGGAGATACTAATATTCAGACTAGCTCGCAAGTCTGATGTCGGGTACTATAGCTCTTAAGTCTGAGGAAGGAGTTGGGAGCATAGCTACATTCACAATTCCATTAAAGATATCCTCCTATTGCCGCTACCCTCATCAGTCTACAGATCCTTATAAACCCAGTTCTTCTTTCACTAGTAATAAGTTCAGTACGCAATCTCGCGCGAGTCGGTTAAATGGTGTTCCGGCAGGGGGTAGACAAGCAACCCAACAGTTTATAAATCAGCAAATTTCAACAAGTCACACCAATCATGTCATGCCTTCATATTTGCGGAATGGGAAATGCGAGGTAGAATACAGACGGAAATTTTCACTAGAGGAACGAGCCGAGGTCCTTGTTCTAGTCGTTGAAGATAAGTATGTTGGGCATATGATACACTCACTCCAAACACATTCTATTAATTCTTACTCACAAATCGCAGTGCCATAAACCAAACCATCGCATTAAGGACCGTCCGAAACTTGGGATTTCAAGCAACAGCTGTTTGGAACGGACGAGAAGCACTGGATTACTTGAGCAATCCTGGACTATCTAAGCCCAGACCAGATATAATATTGATGGATGTGCAGATGCCCATCATGGATGGTATGGAAGCTACAAGAATACTAAGGACGAATAAAGAGTATGAGAAGGACCCAGAACTTGATATGCCGACCCCAGAAGCTGCAAATAACTTCACCAGCACGGGAAGTCCGGATGGCAGTAAAATGGAAATGAAGAGTTCGGTAAACAGGTCAAAACCCAATACGGTTGTGCACCAGAAACAACGCAAAGTTAGAGATCTTCCTGTGATAGCTATGACAGCTAGTGCCATAGAAGGAGATGAAGAAAAGTGTATCGAGGCGGGAATGGATGGATATTTGAGCAAACCTGTTGAGAAGGAAAGATTAGAGGAAACCTTGATTTACTGGGCGCAAAAGACGATAAATGATCGACAACTTGGAATTGGAATATTGAATGGAAGGGTTACTTAGCTATGTGGTATAAGGGAGGTCGATGTTCCTGTCTTTGGTTAAATGATTTGAATATCTCAAGTTATTTGAATATCTCAAGTTATTTGAATATCTCAAGTTATTTGAATATCTCAAGTTACTTAGATATCTCAAGTTATTTGAATATCTCAAGTTACTTAGATATCTCAAGTTATTTGGATATCTCAAGTCATTTGGATAGTTCAAATTATTTAGATGTGTGACGGAAATCCCTGCTTTCCTCCCACCTTTATTATATAAGAAACCTCAGGTACATTAACCATGTCCACACATGATACGATTACTCGAGATTAGTATGTGATTTAGGTGACCTGAGGATCAGATCCGGACAAGTACTAGGTATCAATGGTTATCGGTAAAGTAAGATCATTGGAGGAATAAATATGACTTCTTTTTGCCTAGCTATTGCGGCTAGGCTATTCATTTGTGTATATATAGAGTAGCTATCCCCATCTACAGGTGCTCTTCACCTGTAGATTCTAAGTTAAATACAATTGCTGGTCTATAAACACCCTTTTGGTCACAAGATGTTTTAAATTATTTAAATACCTCAAATTATTAGATATCTCAAGTCATTTAAATATCTCAGGTTACTTAGATATCTTAAATTATTTAAATATCTCACATTATTTGGATAATTCAAGTTATTTAGATATTTCAAATTATTTAGATATTTCAAATTATTTGAGTGTTACGACGGATCTCACATGCCTAACATCACGTGATTAGCATCATGTGATATGAGGATCCCAGTAGGCTCAGCTGTCCCAGTACAACTGGGACAACTGGGAGCACTGGGACGCATGCCACGATGGTCTATATAATCAAGATGGATTTCCTTTGTATAGAGCTTCGTGCTCAAGATCAATCATTTAGTATACTCTACTATTAGTTACGAATTGCATTATTGTCATTACTTTAAGTCCCTGCTTGACGCCTAGTTATAAACCACCTCGAGAGCCTAGAGCACTTCCACGTGATCTAGACGGCAAACCTCGTAACATTGAGTATCTCAAGTTGTTTGAATATATCAAATAATTCAAATATTACAAATGATTTGACATTTCGGTGATCATGACAGCGCATCTTGGTATTGATATTGATCATACCTTGACACTTATATATGTATGGAGCAAATGGCTAATATTAAGAAATTACCTACCTGATCAAGAATGTAGCATTACAATCCCCAGGTCTCTAGATAGATCGTAGGCCATTTAACCCCGTACAACACCATCTCGACGGATAAAGAGGCTTACACTTTTTTAGATGGATATCATGAAGCGTACTGAACTAGTAGTATAGCTTTAGATCTCAATTGAATAGTGATATCACTGAGACATTGTCTTTAAATGAGTAGCACGTGTACCGAGTCATGTTGTAAACAAGCGAGGCTGACTGATTTACCCCTGTCACCGTGTATTTTCACCGCCAAAATATTGTCATCAACCGATATCGCCATGCATGCATTATTATCTTCGAGCTGGGGCTGGGATGATTATCAACGAAGCAAGCTTAAGCTTCCTTATCCCCAGCCTCTCCTCTCCGTCTTCCTTCAAAAACAACAAAAACATCCAACATCACCACATCTCAACATCGAAATATACAACAATAACGTGGTCTACTAGATTTCCACGATTCCCTTAATTATGTTACGCACCACTCTCTTTCTAGCCGCGGCATCATTAGCCACAAGCTCAATCATTCAGCAACCTTTAAAAGAAGCAGGCACTCAATCTCTTATCAGCAGTACAAAGACCAAATCACCAATCAACTCCTCTTCCCTTCAAAACGACATCAAGACTGAAAATCTTCTCAAACGAGCTCATCAGCTGTATAAAATCGCAGAGGAAGGTATCCATGAATATAATCACCCTACGAGAGTTATTGGTTCTCAAGGTATGAATATCCCATATGCATTTACATCGAATCTCTTCATACACCGCGGGAATCTGTGTTGACTCATTTCTGCGTAATAGGTCATACGTCAACAATTGAATATATCTATTCTTCCATCGCGGAACTCGGCGACTACTATGATATCTCCAACCAGACATTCCCAGCTGTAATGGGCAATATTTTCGAGTACAGATTAGTACTTGGTGATGTCGTTCCTGAGACTGCTATTCCCATGAGTCTCACACCTCCCACATATAAAAAAGATGCCGTTCTCGGCCCGTTAGTTTTGGTCGAAAATGACGGTTGTAAGGAATCGGATTATCCCGCGGCTGTGAAAGGCTCGATAGCTTTAATTCGTCGAGGAACTTGCGCTTTTGGTGATAAGTCTGCAAATGCAGGTAAAGCAGGTGCTCTTGCGGCAGTTATATATAATAATGCTCATGGAGCCCTTGGGGGTACCTTGGGAGCTCCAGACAAAAATCATGTGGCTACTTTTGGGATATCGGATGAGGAGGCGGCTCCACACATCAAGAAATTACAGAATGGCAAGCATGTTGATGGATCTGCGTATATTGATGCAGTGGTTCAGGCTATCGAGACCACAAATATAGTTGCCCAGACAAAAGGAGGAGACCAATCCAACTGCGTAATGCTGGGAGGACATTCCGATAGTGTTGCAGAAGGACCCGGTATTAACGATGATGGATCTGGAAGTTTATCTCTACTTGAAGTAGCCACCCAATTAGTCAATTACGAAGTCAACAACTGCGTTCGATTCGCATGGTGGGCAGGTGAAGAAGAGGGACTTCTCGGCTCCGATTACTACGTCTCCCAACTTTCCGACGAGGAGAACTTGAAGATTAGATTATTCATGGATTACGATATGATGGCATCACCAAATTATGCCTATCAAGTCTACAACGCCACTGATGCAGCCAATCCATCTGGATCCGAGGCCTTGAGAAATTTATACACAGAGTGGTACGAAGCTCATGATCTCAACTACACATACATTCCCTTCGACGGTCGAAGCGACTACGATGCCTTCATCAAGAACGGCATTCCAGGAGGTGGCATTGCAACCGGAGCTGAAGGAGTGAAGACTGCCGAGGAAGCCGAAATGTTTGGCGGCAAAGCCGGAGATTGGTTTGATCCTTGTTACCACCAACTTTGTGATGACATTGAAAATCTTGCTCTTGATGCTTGGTTAATCAACACTCGGCTTATCGCTCATTCAGTCGCTACTTACGCCATTTCCTTTGATGGATTTCCCAAAAGAACTTTAGAAAGCATTAGTGCTGCTAAAACAAGTGCAAAGGAAGAGACCAAATATCATGGTCCAGAGTTATTCATGTAAATTAATGTTTTTCTGTACTTTTGTAAGGGATATAAGGATTTGGCGGTTCTAGATTTTGGATTTTGGATTCTAGATTTGTGTAATTTTTAGTACATTTGATGTCTTTCACGGGCATCTCGAGTCAGAGCGTCCGATAGTCCGGAGCGGAAGACTAGATTTCAGCTTTCATTGATCGAAATTCTTTGAACATTTGAATGTGGTTCATTATTTCGAATAGTTTAGAATATTTTAATCATATTCGTTATTTAATATAATTCATTGTTTGAATTGATTTGAATATCTCAAATAGATATAGGAGTCCAGAAGCTTCGCTTTGTTGGACTGCAGTCCAGACTATTGGACACCCTGTCAGATAATCGAGTTTCATTCCTACTAAGCGCTGGAAGTGTGACTTAACTATATATATACTACAAGGGAGATCGACGTTCTTATTATCAATCGCCTCAAATATACCCTTCAATCTATTGAATAAAGGTCTTTCGACTTTGGTTGATTTCTTCTTCATACCCATGGATAAACCACATGTACAATGAAAAAAACCCCCTCTAAAACTAGTCTAGAGGGGAAAAAAATACAGCAAATTAGACAGCGACACCAACAAAATGTATCCGCTGTAGTTAGTCAGTGAAGCAATCTTCAATTCCAGGACCTCCATCGTGTAAAAAATGCATGTAAACATCTGCTGATGTCCCGAAGATCTTGCAACTCTCTATTTTATCACCTGTCTTAAGAGGGATACGGGAAACTTTATTTTCGGATGAAAATTCTGATGACCTTATCTGCTTACCAAAGATGACAAAGTTGTCACTTCCCAACAGTAGTCTAACTTTGGCATTAGTTGCTAGCTCAGCCTGGAGTTTCAGAGCTTCCATCTCAAAGTCATCCTAGAATTCAAAATTCCGATAAAACTCATCGTTCTTTTCTTTTTTCATTCGCAACGGATAGGTAATATCAGTTAACACATTTGAAGACACACAGATTTTAACCCCACTAGAGAATATATTGTGACGTCGACTTCATCTTCTCTCTCCTCTCCTGTCCCTCTCTCAATGTGACTAGCATACTGCAGTATATAGTGAATGTCTATTAAAAAATCAATGAGTTAGTGGGTTCAAGTTTAAGAATGGAAAATGGAATGAAGTAATTGATCTTTTCAACAAACGAAGTATTTTTGTAGAATCGAAATCCATTTAATAGAGTGGTGGATAAACTGGTAGATAAAGGGGAGCTAAAGGCTCGAATCCATTCAAGTGAGTGGTAGATATCTGGCAGATGAAGACCTCATTTAATGATGAAATACAAATGAATTGATGACATTCTGGTTGACTAATAAAAGAGATTCGAGTTCCCCATTCCAATTGAGCTGGCTGTAGATAGAAGAAGGTTTGTAGTGTTGAGTATCGGTGGAAGGAGATGAAAATGAAAGAGAGCGATAAGTCAATAGATTGAAGGATGCTTACCAAAAGTTTTTTGATTTGTTTCTTTTATATCAATTAACTGTTGAGACTTCACAAGGAAGGAAAAGATGAGAAGGAAAAGAGAGAAGGGGAGAGAATGGTTCACTTTCATCAATATGCCTCACGCACCACCCCATCACGCTAAGCTCATGTTTCTTCCATTCTGGCTGACATGGACATTCTATTGATTTCCATAGGATTACAAATCTATCTACTTATCTACCTATCTACCTTTTACCTAGATGGCTGGTCATCTGGACACAAGTGAAAAGGGAGCAAGAATGTATGAGAATCATTTTATTAATCGTGGTGGCTTACTTAAAAGGTCTACATCCACTCGACTCAAGCAGTTATTTGGAAGAGTTGAAATCACTTAATCCACTACAGGAGGGTGAAAAAGCAGAAGCATAAGCGTCATATATACCCCCATTCCCTACCAGGTGTTAGGTGACTGTTCGATGACCTGATCTTGTTGTCCCTGAATATAGGGATGTTTGAAAAGGGAGCTAACCCGAAATATTATATGCAGGCACCAGGTAGCTTCGGCACTTCTCTGTGATCGACTCTTTCCCGCCTTATTCCCCATCTAATCATTCTCCGCATACAAACCTCCATAAAGATATATGGACTCAAAAATACTGACAAGAATATGTACTCCATGGGCTTGAGAAGAGTGGTGAACTAGTTAGTGTAGTTTACATGTGACCTGTGACTTTCTGAGTATAATAGGAAAGTAATTCCATTTCTCTTTTGAAACCTTTTCCTTTTCCTTTCTTCTTTGAATACCACCGAAAATCTCACCTTACCTTACCTTACCTTCAAACAATGTATATATATATCTTCAATTCACAGCTCTCCTATCCCAATATCTACCTAAGTAGGTAGTTTTATCAAGTATCAAGCATCTTATACTTTGGTCAGTGCCAAATTCTTATGAGTACTTGACGTTTACATACTTGAATAGGATACGATACCCTCGAGGTATACGCTCAACCCTACATCGTAGTATAACAGTAAGATATTCTATCTGATATTCGATTCAATCTTATACTGACTTCTTTATTTCTTTACAGACAATGTCCACATACACTCCTCCCGTCTTTAATCAGATCCACTCTTTAAACTGGATTTGCTGAAGAAATGCATGCGGTAAGTTCTAACATCAATTTCATTCTAGATTCATACTAACATGATCTTAGGATATCCCAATTGGCCACGCCGTAATGAATGTCGACATTGCGGAGCACCGAGGGTCGTAGTTCAAACGTAGACTCCGAACCGAATCGAAAAGAACACCAAGAAGGCTAAGAAGGGAGGGAAGAAGGTAGCAAATAGTTTGAGGGGAATTAGTCCAGAGGAATTGGCAGATATGGCAAATGCGTCGAGAGAGACTTTGATGGCGAATGATCTACAGGCTGAGAAGTTGAAAAGGTTGTTCGCAATTAGGGTTGAACGTGGGATGGAGGAAGTAGCAAAACTAGAACTTGATCTCAAAGCAGCAAGAGTGGACTTCGCTGTTCAAAAAGCCTCCTTAAATTCGGCTAAAGGACATGAGTTTACACTAACTCAGATGAATAAGTTCTATATGAATCTCACTACAGAGGAAATGGAGGAGTTGGCAAAAGATGATGCAGTTAGGGCAGAGGAAACTGTTAACAAACATCCTGTTTCTTATACACACATTGATTTATTAGAAATCACTTTGTGAATTCAATTAATAAAGAATTTAATTCATAAATGTTTTTTTGGTTTTGCCTTTTTTCTTTGGAAATTTCTAAATAAATTTTGGAAAAAAAAAAAAAAAAAAAAAAAAAAAGCTTTCTTCCGATCTCTAGAGTTCTCATATATGATCATATACTTCTCGTTACATTTCATACGAAAATAATCTAGAGTGTCCCAATATCACAAATTATCTCAATATCAGGAAAACTATCCAAATACTTTTACTTTCTTTCATATACTTTTCATAAAGCTTCAAAATGCCAGGTCACCGTTTATCTGAACTCACACATGCACGTTGGTTACCATCAAGAATATATCTGCCTCCTCCCCTATCAGCAGAGGTCCGTTTGTTGTTTAACCATTCGATAGATATACAGCTGCAGCTTTAATTCACCCTAATGATCATATCCGCTATATATAGTCTATCTACCCTGAATTCTACATTTCCATAATTCCAATCGGAAAGGATGGTGGATTAATTAGTTACGGATGGATGGATGGATGGATGTTTTTATTATTATTAGTGGAGTAGCTAATTATAATTTATATAAATATTAATCTTAAAAATATTATTGTTATAGATAAATTATCGGTGATGGTGAATTAGGAATTTGTTAATTTGTTAATTAATGAGTAGGTTTTTGGATACAGTTTAGGATAGCATCTTTGGTGATTTGATCCCCTTGGTGATATTATGGTTTAGATGGGTTGGAAGTTGGGTTTTGTATATGTGTGTGTGTGTATATATATATATGTGAATGGGGGGATAATTTATAAAGAGATTAATAGCTGAATATAATATTACTTGTTTGCGGTCTGTCTAGGAAGTTTATAGGTGATTCGCTGCGGAGAGATGATTAAATGGTACGCAGAGGAATGATAATGATATATCAGCTGGTTATATGAGGGAGAGGAGAGTAAATGTTTATATCGTCTCGAGAGAAGATAATGAGGATGTTTGAAGAAGTGCGCTTGGTTCTTGGAGGAAGGGTTTTTTTTGTGGATGGGTTATTGTGATGGCTAAGTAAGGTCTTACTTTCTTGAGGACTGAGATTGATGATTTTGTGTGAGGATTTGCTTTAGGAGTTAGGGGGCTGTTTGGTTTTCTCTGATTTGGTTTTGATGTCAGTATAAGGTTAGTAGCTTGTCAGCGATGTTGGTTTTGTTTGAGCTCGAGTTCGGTGTTGGGTCAAGCGAGTATTGTGTCTAGACTTTTATGTCTGTCTGAACTCTGATATCTCCTGCTCGCCCCTCTTGCTTAGATTCCGTCAAGCATATCCGTTGACTTATATTTCATTCTCTAAATTTGCCATCTATGGCCAAAGATCATGACGATTGTGGCAGACGGATTGGTTGTGCAGACTTCGCTCTTATTTGGTCGCAATACTTGATGTTTCCGTCGGCATCATTGTACAAGTAGTTTTATAATGTATTTCTTCGAACTGTTCCTGTTAAAATTTTAAATTCGCAGATGGATGTCAAGGACATGAGATTGATTGTTGATATCTTGAATGGGGTCAACCCCACACGCGCACGGCTAGACATTTCGGCTAACAAACAATCGATTTGCGGGGTACTTAAGCTTACTTAGGTGCCGGGAAATTTGGCTAATATGATAATATCCTGCATGGTGTCCGGTAAAATCTATCTATCTTTTCCGATGGGAATATTTCAAGAAGAATCTGTGGATCCTATGTGGAAAATACGATACGGGGCTGTCAAGTGGCAATCAAACCTAGCCTGTATTTTTCCGTCCTCCCGGGATCTATATATATACATACCTATATATGTGTGGTTCATTGCTTTTCTTCAAGTCCCTGTTTATGTTGAGCATTGAACTCTTCTCCTAATCCAATTCAGCATGCTGTTTTCCACTCTATCCCGTAGAGCTCTGCTCGCTCTCACCTTTACTATCTTTACACCTACAGTTCTAGCGGCTGCCAACAATCTAACTCTCGTCCCCAATTTCGGCTACAATCCCTCAAATGTCACAATGTATCTCTATGTTCCAAACAAACTTGCACCCAACCCACCGGTATTCGTTAATCCACATTGGTGCCATGGGACAGCACAGGCTGCATTCTCGGGCACCCAATTCGCAACTCTAGCAGACACTTACGGCTACATAATGATTTTCCCCAATTCTCCCAACGCGGCAGATCAATGTTGGGACGTCTCATCCGATGCGACACTTACTCATAATGGTGGAGGTGATTCCTTGGCCATCGTAAATATGGTCAAATATGTACTCGCTACCTACAAAGCCGATCCTAATCGCGTCTTTTCCATGGGCACATCCTCGGGAGCAATGATGACCAACGTACTTCTAGGCGTCTATCCTGATATCTTCGCCGCTGGATCCGCATGGGCAGGCGTAGCCTTAGGATGTTTTGCCGCCAATAGCAGCGCCGTAGATCTCTGGTCGAATGATTGCGCAACAGGCCAAATCATCAAGACAGGCTCGCAATGGAAGAGCATTGTCCAAGCTGCATATCCTGGCTACAAAGGATTTAGACCGAAGATGTGGGTTCTACACGGTACAGATGATACGACACTTTATCCTCAGAATCTCCAGGAGGAAATCAAGGAGTGGACGACTGTGTTGGCTCAGTCTACTTCCCCTCTGTCGACGAGATTGAATTGGCCCGATGCAAATTGGACAACTTGGGATTATGGATCGAAATTTAGAGCTACTAGTGCTGCGGGGGTAACTCATAACATCCCTACGAACGAAAGTGTTGTTATTGATTATTTCGATTTGAAATGTCAAGGCCGTTCATGCTACTCAAGGTTGAAGGCCTGAGCTGCGGTGAGAATGTAGGGCTACTTTTAGAGATCCAGATTCTGACGGAAAGAGGCAATGTATCCACGGCAGTCATTGTAGATGTATTAAGAATAAATTTATCAGCAATGTTTACAGATTTCTGAGAAATGACCAAGGAAAGAAGAGTCTGTTTAAGTAAATCATGTGACGAGACTCATATGAAGCTGTACTACTAGCGGATTCTAATATTGATCTTTAATATAAATAGGATTCTCTTCTCATAGTGTAATTATTAAGAATGAATGACATATAAACCCACAATAGTACTATATGAATAGAATCACCCAAATTTGATACCAACATTCTGAAATACCAACAGTAAGCTTATTTAGCGAGTGTGTGTGAAACAATGTATGGAAGCCGACAGCGACCATCGAGGAATGGTCTTGTAGTGAGAATGAATTTTATTGGCAACGTTTACCATACTTGAAAGAGCCGTCGGAGTTTAGTTTATGGCGTGTTGTGTAGTTATTAAGAGATACGACTTGCAATAAATTTGGAAACTCAATAATGATCAACCAAGCCTCTAAAATGTGTGTTGAGCATCTTCTAAGGGGCGTGATGTCCTTAATATCAAACCACTGCTCCCCTCCCCCACCCCCATGTTACGCTCCATAACTACCTATTAAAAGCATGTCTAGTAGTCCATAATTCATGGATCAGATAAGTTAATAGCCCTCTAATTATTTCCCCCGGGAAAAATACGTATTCTAGATTTCACCTCTTCTACCGTTGTATAAGATCATTGTCACAACATATTTTAGAATGTTGCAGTCTGGACCTCAACACACTTTCCAAGCAATTTATGATCTCCCATTGGCAGTATAATGTTTGGCCAGGCGGATCCTATCAATGCTTCGCACTCCCCATCAACCTGCAGAATGGCCCGCATATACCGTTTTCGGATAAATAGATATCTTCCTCTATACGGGACCATGGTACACTAATCGCACATGCAGTGAGTTGTTTCATCGAGACAGCTTACAAACTCAGGCCTCACAACGGTCTACTTCAGGCCTATGTGGAGGTTTACCTTGTGCAGAAATATTAGGATGATGTCCCACACTTGAGTTATAGCTGGGATACCGCCGAGATACAAGAGAAACTTTCCGTCTTGTCTTCTTTGGTCATCGACATTTGGTATGCAGCTCCCAAGTCATAGAGTGACATAATCTACGATTGGAGATTCGATGTTTCAATGACAAAAAGTGGCAAGGCCTACTCAAGTATATAAATCAGCCATCCAAGGACCAAATTTAGAATCAATTGTTGCATGAAGGAGGGAAAAAACTTAACATGAGCTCTCATCACCATTTTTTCCATCTATTTGCTAATATACTCTCGTATATTTCAAACCAGTCAAGTTGGGTTACTTATACCTGGTATTCGCAAGTACAGATGCTGGGATAAAACGTGAGCGCAGAATATAAAAATAAGAGAGATTAGCACAGGAGAGCTAGAAATAAGATTTAGAGAGAATAGATGCAAAGAAGACGAAGGAGAGTAGTTAGATAAAATGAGAGTCAGCAGAAAATATGGCGAGGGAAGAACTAGAAGAGGAAAAGTGCAAATCCATCTTTTGAAGGAGGCTGAGTGTTAGAGATGACCCGAGCGCTGTCTTCATGGCTGAGGTTCAGCTTCTCATGAGATTTTTCGCGTTTAAAAAAGCAGGTTTAAGTGGCGTCGGTGAGGGAAGGCGTGTCAATAAATTCAAATTGGAGTCTGGTATGACAGTCTATTTGGAGCTTTTTAAACCAAGTATTTTAAGCGACTATGAGCCTTTGAAATATACCAAAATTCAAAAAGAACTCAACAATAAAACGACTAAAGAATCTCATGTGCAGTTCCTGGAGAAACTACTATAAACTTGCCTTGCAACTTGGATACATTTGTGTAGGTAAAGTAGGAGTGAAATAACTAAGTCTCCATCTAACAAGCAGTAAAACGACGCGCTAAAGCCCCCCTAGACGCATCTTCATTAGCTTTTCACATCGCTACAAAAACAACAGCTATAAGTAGTAGGTACCATTAACACTTCATATATTTCGGTTCATTCTCTTTTGCGATACATACCGAATTTATCGGTAATATCGAGTTTACAGTATGAACGTGAAAATTCGGCACCAAGTGGTGTGTACATCAAACCTGCAACCTAGTACCAGTCCAATCATTCACCATTTCCTCCCCTCGCCATGGTAATCTCAGGATTACAATACGGAACCCAAAAGATAACGCCAATCGCAGAGAATACAGCCGCCTTTCCTCTCCGAGACATTGTTGCATACCTAGGTACATACATACATACATACATACATACATACATACATACATACATACACATAAAAAACATCCCGAGGTACTTATTAAATTCCCTACTCCATACTATCTATCAAATTACTACCACAATCCATACATTTCTTCATCGCATTGAAGTTTCCCAATCTCGTATACGAAACCACTCCCAATGAACTCGATACTATCGTTCGGGAAAAATTGTAAATTATACAACATCTCGGCATCGGTATAAAAGAAGTATTTGTAAATTTTGCTCCTGGCGATGAAGGTTCGGAATCTCGGTGTAGGGTAGGGAGAGGAATTTGGGAAGAGGAAAGATTACGTGGTTTGAAGAAAATATATGATTCCAAGGGAGTTTCTACTCATTATAATAGCGAATCCCTTATAATGATGGATGGAAAGATTTCGATTCCATCAGCCCCGACACGAATAATCAAATCAACCGAATACCCGGAAATAAACCAACGACTTTTCAATATAAAAAAAGAAAATTTGGTCATATTTCCAATTCCCAAACATCGCAAGACTAATTCGTAAGCTAAGATTACAAACATGATGTCAAGCAAAAATTCCGACGCGTCGACCTCTCGCCTCCCTTGCTACAATTAAATTCCACACATACGTCGACAGGAATGTAATAAAAGAGATCGCACAGATAAAAGCCCCAAGATATATTTCCCCCTCGCACGTAGATGGATCTAGAGAATTCTAAGGACATTGAGAAAAGAAATTCCTGTGAAAATGACTACTACTATTACATCAACTTCGAGCATTGGCGGTGTGACGGATGGAGGGGGACTTTTCCCTACGTTTGTTCCGAGTGATATTGCGGGACAGATGGTTTTGGGTTGTCCTATTGTATGTTACTCTCTTCTCTTCCTTCAAGTATTCGTCTACTAATTCCTTCCATTCAGTCATCCTTCATGTCCCTCGACTCCAAATGTCCCATCACAGGCACCGGACTCCCTGCATGCGCAACCCAAACCGCTGATTTCGACGAACCATGCTGTGGTTCTCTCAGCGCATTCGCCACTAGCGTTGGAGATTGTTATAGCAGTAATGCACCAGATTGTTTGAATTTAGATGGTGAGTGACCTTCATATACCTTCTCATTCTCCTTGAGCCAGTTCAGACAAATCAAACGCAGCAAGAATAGAAGGAAAAGAACCACCACTAAAATAAAATAAACTAACAAACAAAAAACAGAACTCTCCAGTAGCCTAACAGCCTTCAGCGCCACAGCAACCGACCAACAAGTCACCAACCCCTGCGCTCGATTCGCTTCCACAACCCCTACCAGCGACCCCACCGGAGCGAGAGAGCAAGCTGCTCAGACCGGGGAGACTGGAGGAAGCGGAGCAACCGAAGGATCTACCACAATAGGAACTGCAACGGACAGCGCAAGTACCGCCAGTAGTACGAGTTCCAGCTCTGGAAGTGCAAAAGAGAGAGGAAACATGGGATTGAAAACGATTGCCACATTGGCATTGCTAGGAAGTTTAGGTGTGTTGTGGTTGTGAAAGGCGAGAATGGTTGTGAGAAGAGGAGAGAATCAGGAATTTGGTTGATGACTTTACCGATATGGATGTTATGGGTGCTTGTTGTAGGACTCTCGGGCGAGATGGAGGTGTTGAGTGAGGATGAGAGTGGCGTTGGGTTTTTGGTTTGGTGGATTTTATGTATGTTGTCTTTCGGTATTGTAAGTGGGTTTGGAATTTATGTTGGTGTGCAATAAATATTGTTAAAGAATTTCATTTGGTCCTCTTGCTTGCGTTCGGAGATCTGATCTAGAGATCTATCATCAATGTAATTGATATGGTTTTCTATACTCGTGCTAGTCAAATCAATTTCTTTCACTAGAGAGACGTCTATTCCCTGCCCACCAATTCTTCATTACACTGGAAGACAGAAATGGGTGAACTGCGCTATTGGAAAAACAAATGTGATGAAGATCTTACTGGTGAGGTACTTCACCAAACGTGTATCGATGTGCCAATACTGGCATCTGTGTAATTTATTTCATATTCAAAATGATATATAGTCCTTGTAATTAAAGACAGAGGATCAGTATCTCAAAAATAGACATTGCTCAAAGAAATTCTCGCAAAAAGCCATGATCAAACAAATCACCATGTCAAAAATCCCAACTCCATATCCCATATTTTCCTCCATTCGCCTTCCGACCCCTCCACATCATCATGATCGTTATTTTCCTTGGCTCATCAATCATCAAGTTCCGCTTGCTACCCACGCAATATCATAATTGTATCACTCATCCCCAACTTCAACAATCCTCACCCCCGCTCCTTTCTTGTTTCCTCTCCCAAACCCGGGAAAAGAGGTACTACTAGCCTTAACTTCCACTCCCGTCTCCTTCCTCTTCCCAACTTCACTCACCAACTTTTTGAAATATACCTCTGCCTGTATAGTAGAGCTGTATGCAATCGGCGTCCACATCCAAACATTTCTCCTCTCCGCATCCGCCCCTGCAGCCAACAATGTTCTCAGTACCAACATATGTCCATTACTGCTCGCAAAATGTAACGCCGTATTTCCATCCACGTCGGAATTTGCTAATACTTCTTTCGGATCTTTATATATTGCAGCAAATGTAAGAAGAATCTGTAAGCAGGTATCATGACCTCCACGACTGGCATACATAATTGCATCTCGACCTCTCACATCGCGTCTTAGGATACCGGATACAGCGGGACCCTGCATGCAGAGCAAATTCACAATGTCGGTGTGCCCAGCGGTGGCGGCGAGCATGAGAGCCGTCTGATGTTCTTCATTGAGAGAGATAGATAGGGACTCATGACCTAGAGATAGGAGGAGAGATGCAACATCTAGGTGGCCAAGGGAGCAGGCAAGATGTAGAGATGTGTTGGAGAGACCATGAGGTGATAAATCGGGGTTATGAAGAAGATTGGGATGAGATTTGAGGATTCGTTTCACGAGGGATGCATCGGGGGTGTGAATTGCGCGACGAAGACGGATCGTGGTATCAATCCTACATAGATAATGTTAGAGATAAGATAACTTTGTAATATTTCTGATTGTTTTGGTGAGGGGAAGTGATGTCGTGCTTGAAGAAAACAATTGTTCATCAGAAGAAAGAACAGAGGAATGAACCTACATATTCACAGCATATCTACCTTTCTTTGTACCTATAAACAACCACTTCTTTGCATATAAACAAAAGCTCTAGAAAGAAATCATTGAACTCCAACCTTGTTACCGTTGACAATGCTTTGATCTGATCTCTGCAGCTGCCCCACCAAACATTCAAACATCCTCGCAGTAGTGTTCCCCATACTTGGCGATGACATGACGATCGCTTACATAATCATGATTATGTACTGCGTCATTGCGACTTTTCGGGCTGAATGGGCTGAATGGGGGAAGTCGCGGGAACTTTACCTAGTAGATACTGATGTACAGCCCGAGCTAATACAATTGTTAATTAATTAGAAACAACAACATAAGAAATAAACAATCAACAATCTTCAATCTCAATCTACATTCCACATCTATATTTCCACATTCCACTGTCTGATAACACAAATTGACAAAACACACCAATAAAGCATCAAAGTGATGCCGAATTCTCGTTTCGATCCAAGTATCGCATTCCAACCTATCAAAAGCGTAGTCAGCGCCTCCTTTCTCTATCCTTTCAAAGGTATTTGGTACTTCTTGACTGATCGTCAATTCTACCCTCTTTTTGGTAGACGATTGATCCCCTTAACCATAACCTCAATTGTTGTTCTCGGTCTTCTATTCACATTTACGTATCTGCCGCAAGTAGCATTTCTAGCAATATGGCATGGACCCGGCGCATGGTTTAATGCAGCATTTCTGGTCCTCGGCGAAGGACAAGTTATAATTGCTTTATTGTTTGAGGCATTATTGGTAGATGAGACGCTTGTGGATATCTTCGATGTATGAACCCCTTTTATCCTACCTACAGGACTAACGAGATCATAGGCTACACTTATTAAAGAAGGTCTTATAGATCTCGTCTCGCCATCTCGAATACTCCATCGCGATGCTCCGAATGAAGTCAAGATGCTGGGGAAACCCACTACTTCTGCCGTTTACTCCCCTTTCTCTTTTCGCCAAATAGCAGAATTCATAATATTCCTCCCTCTTAACTTCATACCTATAATTGGAACGCCTTTCTTCCTAATCCTAACTGGTGCTCGCGCCGGGCCTTTACATCACTGGCGGTATTTTAAATTACGAGGTCTGACGAAGAAGGAGAGGAAAAGGGAAATCAATAGCAGGAAGTGGAAATACACATGGTTTGTTATTCCTATATATGAATTATAGTGAGATGCTAATAGTAAATAGGTTTGGAACAGTTGCTTTACTCCTACAACTTGTGCCGGTGCTTTCAATGTTTTTCCTTTTAACTTCGGCTGTTGGATCAGCTTTATGGGTGGTAAAGTTAGAGGAACAGAAGAGATTAAATGTGGCAGATAGGTTGGTCAATAATGCTGGTCTTCCTAATAATGGAGAGTTTGAACAGGAGGCACCATATGTCGACGACCCGGTGTAAAGTTTTAATAATGTTTTCATCTTGCTCTATCTTTAGTACTTGATCAATACTCCTATCTTTTTCATTAGCCTAGCGAAAGATTCTTCTACCTCGATTTGAGAATTGTCAAATACCAGAACATCTCCATAGTAAATAGCTTACAAAACTGTAAATTATAATCATATAATACCTACCTAGCTACACAAGATATACCAGAATCAGGCCCAATAAATCAAATTCCCCTCTCAAAATCATATCTAAAAAATCCATAAATCTTCAAAAACAAGTTGATCATTCAAACAAATCTATACTTCCACACAAATCCAGCCTTCTAACTCATCTCCAATCTCTCACCCGAATTCAAGAATTCAAAAACACAAAACCTTCTCATTCTCAAACCACAATTGGAACAATTAAGTACCCTCAATATACAACAACAATAGGAGAAATAACGCCATGTACCCAGGTAGATAGATGGATAGATAAATAATAATTGATTTATTTTGATGAGTTATTATAAATTATCATGTAAGGTTAGGTTATTTTCTGGTATATTTATTTATAGTCCAAACTCTACAGTGCATACTCCAGGTTCTGTATCCACAAACCCAAAGGTTATCTAGTTCTATCTAGTATTCTCATCTTCTGATTTAATTCTATTCCATTCCATTCCGTTGATATTATATTTATTACAATTCTCCTCTCAGCTCTCGAGGTCCGATCTTCAGTTCCAATGCAACTCCGCTCCTAAAACCACTACGATGTCTCTCTATCTCCATATCTAACATATAAACCCTCTCTCATTCTCCTAAACTCGCCTTTTTACCTGGATACACATACACACCTTGCTTTTGCGCTCCCCTTTCTTTCTCTCCTTCCTTCCTTCCTTCCCTATTTTTCTCCTTCACTCTTGCCCTTCCCCTCTCTCTCGCCCCTCCCTTCTCTCTTGTCCTCCCCCTCTCCATCCAATCCAAATCCAAATCCAACCCAACCCCCAAAAAAGCCAGAACGAAGAACTAATCCTCATCCAACAATCCTATCTTTCCTCCAATCACACATCAATCTCCGCGATCATCTCCAAAAGCAGAAGTCTTATTCTTAATGGAAAATCCGAATTCATACTACGAGATTCCTCGCAAAGCGACCGACCAATTGCGGCAGGAAGCATCAGCTATCTTTCGCAAGAGATAGAAGGTACAGGTAAGATTACATAGTATGATAGATTTCTTCCTTCCATTATAGCAATTAAGAAGCCAGCAACCATGTGGAAAGAGTGACGGAAGAGCAAAATCCTCTATTTAAATCTTTTCTTTTCTCCTCTTCCTCTGTTTCTTTTCCTACCAAGAAACAAAAGCCCACTTGTCAAAGCGACAAGTTCTCTGATATTGTTGACACAATATCAAAATGGTTTTCCCACAAATTCTCTTCGCCGCAATGGCAATCACTTCCGCCATACTGGCATTATTTCTCGCACCTTTATTCTTTGACAGAATGGGCTTGCGTTTCCCCTTCGCGCCGCCACTTCCCCCTCCGCCTCCTCCACCACCTACTCGCCGCCCTCGCCGCCGCCGCCGACCCCGCCACATCCACCACATCCACCACATCCACCACATCCACCACATCCACCACATCCGCCTGGCCCACGATCCTCCTTTTGCAGAAGGCTCAACGGAGCTCCGTGAGCTTCAACGGATTCGTGTCGAAACCCGAATAATTCGAATCTGCTCCGAGATCATCGGAATGATGGCCATTCGAAACAACGCCAATTCGGAAGCAGAAGCCCGCCAATACAGCGATGAGTTCGAGAGACTCACCCGCGATGATCCCATCGGTGACGAGTAAATCCGACATTTTAAAACGACACTATTCCTAACAGCACTATTCTTATCATACTCTTATTAATACAAATATATTTATCACCAGCGATAAGATTGCACTTCTCCGTCAGTGCTGGTGACTAGTAGCCTTCGGGTGAAGCCAAGACGAGCTCTTCATCCATCCCGTCCAATTTTGTTTGTCAACTGCACATATGCTAAAACATCTTCATGACGACTAGGTTACCTTTCCCAGTACCACTTTCGAAATCGAAACAACTCGGCCTTATTTTTTGCTGTTAGCAGTGAGTAGAATTTGAAGTCTTTGCTCTCCTCGAATGCAGAAGATAAGTCCCCTTCCTGATGTTGCACCTCTAGTTGACTTCGGACCTCTGCTGTAGTCCGCACGCTAACTTGACCCTCAATGATGGCTCTAAAGATTTCTACTGTCGATTTTACTCTCGAAGGAAGATGTTGCGCCAAGAGCGATTCACCTTCGGACCCAAAATCCTTCCACCTCGTGAAGAATCTGGCCCATCCAAGGCCTTCAAAAAATTTGAAGTCAATACGGTATTCTGTGGGGCATTTGTGACATCTTCTCACCCCAGACCCGGTGTATTTCAAGCTCGTTTGAAACCTGATATGCGGACATATATTCTCAGAGGCGGTTGAAGGTGGTTTAAAATCCGCGGTACTTGAACATTCGCGCGAGATGAATACGCTTTGTACCCTATGCATCAGATGACCTTGAACAATACGGCATTCTTCTCTCCATTGCCGCAAATACTTTCCCCAATTGGTTATCTTTGCTTTATGGTGTGACATAAATTTCAATAGTTCTTTATCCCTCGGGTTTTGGTGGCATCTTTTTAAAGCCATATTGACAGCAGTTTCACCAAAAAGTTCAGTGATTATCCAACTTTCGTTGTCGCGGTCCTGAGTCACACAAGTTGGAAATCGTAAAGATTTGTACGCACGAGTCTTCGAAGAAGTGCCGTAGGTAATGCAATTGTATCTGAGCAGGTTTTGCATGTGGTGCAGTCTCTTGCAGACAGAGCAGACAACCTGATCTGGTAAATCGAGGGCCAGGAGATTCAGCAGCGCTAGTGTTCCTTTAGTCGAGGTTGATATTCTTGAAAAATGTTGAGTCCCGAGCAAGCGTCCGAGGTGCATACAGGAAAGGGAGAAGGCTACAGCAGACTCCAAAGGAAGGAAGTCCATGATGTCTGATAATATCTCTACTGGGACATTTTTGAGAATTGAAGAAGGTAATGCAGCGGGCCTTGACGATTCAACAGGCCTTAAACTTTCAACAGGTCTTGACAATTCAGCGGGCCTTGACAATTCAGCGGGCCTTGACAATTCAGCGGGCTTTGCCAATTCAGCGGGCATTGCCGATTCAACAGGCTTTGACGATTCAACAGGCTTTGTCGATCCAACAGGCTTTGTCGATTCAACAGGCTTTGTCGATTCAACAGGTCTCTCCCGCACTCGAAAGAAGAAAACTAGCTTCTGAAGATAATTCATCATGCATGTTATGAAAGACGAACAATATGGCACGAAGCAGAAAAATCCCCCAAGTTCAAGCAGGAAAATCCTTGTATTATGTATGAGTTTAAAGAAAGAGAAAAAATAAAGAAAAGAAGAATACATTTCTCTTCGTTTTGACAATGTGTCTAGTCCTAGTCTTGATCTAGTCACACGTGACTTATCAATCAAGGTCATCTCAGTCCAGTCCCCGCGAGTGGTGACTAGTCTCTTGCTAGAAGATGTAAAGCCAGCGCCGTCGGTTTATCAGCTTGGTAATTGTATTTTTGTTACATAATTTGTGGAAAGATTGTCGCTTTAGAGTAGAGAATGATAAACTTGTTAACACTGTGTCCTGTGTAGTGTAGTAGATACTAGATGTGGGTGTGAGAGTTTGTGGGATCGGCTTGGAATGTTAATCCATCTGTGATGCTTTTATGTTGGAGCTTAGTCAGAAACAAGATCTTAAAAGTCATATCTGATGTTTTAGTGTGTGCAAGTTGAAGAAATGTTAGTGACAATGATAATGACAACGAAGTTCGAAGTTTGTATTGAAGAAAGATTTCAGTGTGGTTGTGTTGTTGATATTTATTATTATTTCTATTCGCTGGGGGTTGAGTCAAGTAGATTTAGATTAGATTATATAAGCACGCTAAGTTATGGTGATCAAGGCAACGTGAATGGTTACTATCTTTCCCTCCCTCGTGTGTCACCACCCTCCAGTTTATTAATCATTTACTTGGTACTTGAGTAGGTAATAGATGCTAAAATGTTTATCACGGCAGAGTTTCTTAGTTTTGCTATAATAATACTGTCTCTTCTCCCAACCTACATCAGATACATCACATTATCCCCAAGGATACCAAGTACCGTGCTGACCATCGTATTCAAAGTGTTCACTCTTATTATTTCGCCCGCGTGGAACATTCAAAGTACAGATATGGTACGGTACACGGTACCGACACCGGCACGTCATCCGACGTTATACATGCCGCTGGTATCGGAGAATTTTTGGGATGGTAATACCATGTGAACATGTTTCCCCTCTTTCCATTTCTTGGTTCATTTATTATCTTGGTTCGTTTGCGCATAGAGGGGTATGAGTGTGACATGTGATACCGTAAGGCTAATCCCCGACGATGGCTTTTTGGATAACTAGGTAAAGGGTAGCTGTTGGCTGTAAGTTGTAGGACGTGAGATTGAAACTTGGAAGAAGAATTCCGTGAGTTTGGAAGCGAGGAGTGGTGGAGTATCATGAGAGATGTAGCTCCAAGTGGGAGTCGTGGGATGAAAGATGGGATGATGAGGGGAAAATGGTGTGGAATACTATGTATGACGAGGATGAGAATAAGATGTGGCCGATGAATCATGAAAGATTCTTGACAATGTGAATGTAAATTTAAGAGCGGGATTCGGAGTTTCTCATCTCGAATTTTGATATATACCTACCTACAAGGTATACAAGTATCTGTAGGTATTGTTGAATGATCATGTCGCTTAGATGAGGAGAACGGGTTCGGCCGATAGATTTTGAAAGGGGGATCGTATCATCTGATAACTCCCGTCATTCTTGGTGCCTCCCGGATTGAATAAATGATGTAGGTGATCGGATACGTTGGAATTCATCGGGTACTCGCGTTGCTCTTAATAAGTTTTTTTTTTCTTATCTCCGCATACATGAAGAAAGGTAAGCCCTGCTTGAAATGTGTAGGCAGGAGAAACAAGAGGCCTGGGAAATTCCCTAACTGTGAATCATTGGTCATGAACCATCAATTTCTATCATGGGAATTCTTCGAATGGGATTTATTAGATGGATGGATGGTAAATTCGTATCCGTGTGTGAATTTGAAACACAACACCAACTGCGCTATCAGCGGCTCTGGGATTCTGACCTGTGTACCAAATGGCAATTACCTTGTTAGGCAATGATGTTAATATGTTTCCTTTTAGTTATTTTTCTTGGATGCTTATTTGATTCATGCTTGACCCTATGGGGAGAGAATTGGAATAATTTCGTGCATTCCGACACACTGGTGATTTCGCACTGTAAAGAGTTATAAGATGGGGATAACGGCAGCTGATGGAAAACCTTCTGAGGATCATAAGCAAGGTTGAAACCTCATGGTATATAGAATGTTACATCTCTTTAGTGTGTAGTAAATTGTTACTCCGGGTCATGTTTTGATTCATGGGTGGAAGGTGGTGAGGGGTAAGAATTCTGGAATCTTAAGCTACGGCTACACAACAATGATAGGAGAATCTTATCGTCAATCTATCGAGTCACGAGCTCTCATTTCATCATAGATTTTTAGGTGTGGCTATATTTAGTTCGGGAGGAAAAATGATGAGTTAGGGTAATTATCTGAGACGTACAGTGAGACTTATAATATAATTGATGAAGCGCGTTTAGACACCGGATTCCTCTTCTAGGACAGCGAGAGAGCTACGGCTAGTGTCGAAATGCCGCCACCCGGGGACCTTTTGCTTTCGACCCAAGTAGGAAACTATCATTCCCTGCTCATTGATACGATCAATAAGCAGAAGCTTTGGTTCATGGTCCATATCACCTCCTCCCTGCTACTCCGAGAAGGAGAGTACGTACTCGAGTGCATATGACAAGTATCTCAAATGCAAAGAGGATGTCGTTTTCTTAAAGTATAACGTCCCTCCCTTTCACTGACAAAGATCAGAATCAGCAAGCATCTTCTCTACAATCATATGAGATTTGAAGAGGGGAGAGAAGAAAGGACCAGTCCAGATCCAGATCCTCCTTCGGCTATATTATCGAGACGTGATTGCTATCCTCGAAGATACTTGCGCAATTATCATTATCAGCGGATCATAAAGTGAAAACCTATCGCGTCATCCCCTTCATTCTTTCCACCTGCACAGCTAATCTACCGATAATTCGTATCTACTAAAAGAGTTCATCAACGAGCGGTCTGGCATGCATCTTTAAAAGGCTCGAGCTTTCTTCAAAAGAACAATTATACCTTATTTAGCTCGTACTTGTACATGAGATTGTTAGCTCAAGTATCTTACCATCGCACTCTTCACTCCCTATATACTGACGAACACACGAAACACACTCATCAAGCACAAGCAAAATCATACATTCACATCATCCAGACCTCGATTGGCGGTTGGGAAGTCACAAATTCTTGATCACTCGATTTCAGAGATTTTTACCATTAACTCTATACAACAAGGCTGTTTCCCTTAGAGAAAGGGCACTAAATCAGCCTCAAATCATTAAAATTGATTAAATACCCAAGTTCATGTTGCACAGCCATTCTGCCTCATATTAGGTAGATCGTATCATATCATATTATATTTATACCTGGACTGAAGATAAAATATCTACCAGCATCAATTACCTTTTTTATTTCTACATCTGAGGACCAGGCAAGGACTCGAGGGAATAAAAGACTATCAATCAGAAGCTTGCTTACTACTTTCACAATACCCTTTAATTCTTCCATTTATTAGCCTTTCCTTATCCTTCTCGCCTCTTTTTTCTCCACGAGCTAAGATAGAGAAATCAAAAATAATAAATCCAACATCCTTCCTTTCGTTCCTCTTGTTCCTCTTGTTCTCAGACACCACCCTTCTTCGAAACAATAACACCCCCACCTCAACTGGACTCGTACCCCGCTGATCGCAACAACCTTCTAATAACAACACAAAATTCCAACCATATTTACATTTAATCCTGTTCGACTAGATTTCTATCAACATATTTTGGGCATGGATACAATGCTGGGTAACGGAGCGCCACAACCGCCGCAGCCGCATATGCGAAATGGCAGCAGCTCCAACAATCAATACCCTCGGCATATGAGCACCGGTAGCTTGAATATTGCAAATGGTCAATCGGGTCCCATCAATGGTGCTTCTCCTAGAGCGGATGGGGTGGCAAGAAGTCCTCCTACTAGACAAAGTGAGCATCCAAAGCTTCCGGAGAGTTGTTGGAGTTAAAGTTCTGATGCGGGATTTATAGATACCGGCCATGTTCCGTGTAAATTCTTTAGACAGGTGAGTAAGATTCGAGCTTCTGTCTTTTAGCAGGAATGAGTGCTGATGTGAATTGTTTAGGGTACTTGTCAAGGTACGTCATTACAAACTAAAGAAGGTCATCACCGGAGCCTTGAACTAATAATCTATAGCTGGTCAAGCTTGCCCATTCAGTCACGATCTAGCTAGTACAACTGACAATGTCTGCAAATACTTTTCAAAGGTATGTGGCCTCATTTGCAGAATGAAACTAGGGGTCTAACAGTCTGCGAAGGGTAATTGCAAGTTTGGACCTAAATGCGCAAACATACACGTTCTGCCTGATGGAAGACGGATCAATTATAAAGCAAATATGCCACCGATGGCACCGGCTCTGAATCTTGGAGGACGAATAAACCCAGATCCTTATCATGGACAAGGTTCGGCTTTAACAAATTCTTTCGCTCGGGCCCAGGGTGTACCCTCATCGCCATATGGTCAACCCTATGGCCCTTTCACAACACAAGAGGATGGATTTGTTCCTATGGTTGGCAGACAGCAAAGTGTTGATATCAATATTCCGACGATCGATACGAGTTATGCATCGCATCCTGGTTCAAATTATGGGTCGCCTAGAGATGATATGATGGATCGATTTGGCCTTGGACTTTCACCAGTTGCTGCCAAAGGATTAAGTGTCTTGGATGCTCCTTTGCCAGCTTCATTCGATAGTAATGGTGTATCGTGGATTGCAAGACATGGAAAAGTAGCATCCTCAGTTCCTACGAAGTTTGGCATTGATTCTCCCCCATCATCAGTTGGTGGAGGAAAGCCAACAGACGCCTTAAGAAGCTTGCATAGCTCTGCATTTGGAGATGACACTAGGGATCGATTCAACGGAATCGCATCATCTCCGCCATCCGAGGAATATTTTGGGAAACGCACCATGCATTCTCAGCGATCGACCAAACCAAAGATTATATCGGCAAGCCTTCCAAGAGAGCATAAAGAGCTAGACTGGTCAGAGGCTTTCTCATTTGAAGAAGATTTACTACCGGAAGCTCTCCATGATCTTATGACACCAGCAGAGAAAGCTAGAAGAAATTCTCGGGCCGCCTACGATGAATCAAAGCCATCTCGGGGATTTTATGATGAAGTAAGATCAACATACAGTGGAACAGGTACCCCGAGCAATGATACCCCGACAAAATTTGGCTCTCCATCAAACGGAAGCCCTTCTTCTAGATGGGGTGCCTACTTTCAACCAAAAGCCAAGGAAGAAGAGATTTCTCGAGCTTCAGTATTTGGTCATGTAGGCTCTCCACTTCGGAACTCTCTTCTTCATGAAGGAGCAAGTCCTAGCTCAAGACCAATTGCTCGTCCTAATACATCTGGTGATGCATTGTCAAATGTTGCATCTCCACCTCGCCAAACTTCCATGTCTATCATTTCACAACAACTTCAGCGAACTCGTCTCTCCAGAGCCGAATCCAATGGTAGCGATCCCAGCCTTCTTTCATCATCGGCAACGCGCACTATTACTACTCCCATTGGTTCGGGTCGATCGGCTTTTTCGGCTGATAGACAACCTAGCTCTGCTAGTATTGGTGGCAGTGGCAGATTTACCACACCCATTGACGAAGAACAGGGTGATTTCGTTTTCAATATGGAAGGCATGGATGATGATGAGAGAAGTCAGAAAAGAAGCAGCCCTTGGAACATCGCTGGAAGTAACAAGAGCCCAAGCTTAGGCGCTGTTGGTGGTGGTCGAAGCATTCCAGCAAATAAGACTAACGGCAGTGGCCTCGATGGAATGTTTGGTGGACGATGATTTGAACCGCACTTTTGGGTTCAATTGGCACTGTCGCTTGACCATTGGATCTTTCGGACTTCTTGACACATACATCGATTTACCATCTTCTCTTCTCTTGTACCTTTGGTTATTCGATTTCCACCTAAAATTCTCCTCGGACACCAAAAATCAACATCCGACCTACTTCCACACATCTCCGAACATATTACGATTGTATCATAGAAAGTTTGACCTTGGTTCCTTCTAATGCATCTGGAGTCAATTACAAAGTTCATTGCTTTTACTTGCCTTCTCTGCAATTCTGCATAATAGGGTAACGACGGAAATTTGGGAATTATGGAAATTTGCTTTAGTTTTTTCTTGAATTGGGAAGCGGGGAGTTTTTTTGAGGCGATATAATCATAGCAAAAGGTAAAAGATCATTGCAAATACTGCATACATACTAGAATGGTTATGAATGATAGGAAGCAAGAATGACAATGAAAATAACAATAAGAAGTTTGTAGATTATGATATGACGAGTATTTTGATTATGATGTGATGTGATGTGATGAGATTTTGATTGGTTTGTATTTCCTGAGTAACCAAAACAAAAAATTGTATATTTCCGGGAATCAGCAAGATGAGATGCGCAACAGAAAAATGGGATAGATTTATAGATGTATTCCTCCACTAGTTGTTCGAACTGAAGTTGTACAAAGTCCAGAAATGGAAGTCAATCAGGTGATGGTGATCTCAGATGCGAGGCGATCCGTCGAAAGATGCGCTTTGACCAGCCTCAGGCTAAATATGATGACTAAGCGCCGTAAGGTTGCTTCCATCAACGCGGCTCGATAGCTACCTTGTCACCTCCAAAAGCTTCATATTACACCTGGCAAATCATACCAACATCTTCGCCCTACCACGTTAACGAACTAATTTTTCTCTAACTTCTCCAATTATACAACCATCCAAAAGTTGAAACGATCAAAATGTCAGAACGCGATCTTCAAACAATTCTCCAGAAACTCAAATCCCCATCAACATCCTACCAAGAGAGCTCATCACTCCTCTCCAAAGCTAAACTCACACTTCTCAAATTAAATGCCTTGACTCCTCAAGCATCAACCCCATCGTCTATATTATCTCTTGCTCGCGAAGTCTTCGAAACGGGTGCCTTGGTTTCTATTCGTGCAAAAGATCCAGCTGCTTTCACACGTTATGTTCATCAATTAACCCCATACTACGAGCTACCAGCCGACAACTTCAGCGCTAAGAGTTCGGGAGAGAAGAACAAGATTACGGGATTATACCTTTTGTTGTTGTTGACGCAGGGAGATTATGCGGGCTTTCATACGGAATTGGAGGGGTTGGAGCTGAGGGGTGAGAATGGTGGGAAGAAGGTTGAGGAGGATAAATATTTGGGATATCCGATTAAGTTGGAGAGATGGTTGATGGAAGGTAGTTATGATTTGGTTTGGAGGGCGATGGAGGGCGGTAAAGTGCCCAGTGAGGAGTATGGAGTTTTCAGTGAGGTGAGTTGGTTTTGTTGTTGCGCTGTGTCCTTTCATTGTCTATCAGCCGCGAGATTGGATGGGCTATTACTGCGAAGTTTACAAGTCACTAACGGTTTACCAACAGATCTTGATCAACCAAATTCGCTCTGAAATTGCCTCATCATCCGAAACAGCATACCCATCCATACCCATCTCATCTACAAAGAATCTCCTCTTCTTACCATCAGAAGGAGCAGTAATACAATTTGCGCAACATAGAGGATGGCTGATTGAAGATGGCCGGATATACTTCCCTAATCAAAAGTTAAAGGGTGGTGTGGAGGCTGGAGAGGTAGCCGAGGAGAAGGAAGTTAGTATGACAGCAATTGAGAATACGCTTGGTTATGCTAGGGAGTTGGAGACGATCGTATAAGCTGGTTACTGTAATACAGTTTTACATAACTTCTGGCGGAAGGAGTGGAAGGGTGGAAAATGATATGCACAGATGAGTGGATAGCATAGATATCATAAGTGTAACTTTAGATAGCAGGCATGGCATAATATCCACATGACTTTTCGATGATTGAATATTTGTTCTCACGGCAGCCGTATTAGATTTGCTCTAGACTTGTCTATTAGTAAATCCAATATCATGATCCAATACTGCTGTATTTCAGCGTCCACTCCTCTTTCCCTAGGCGTGAATGAAATAGATAAGTGCAATCAGAATAGTAAATAAAATACGGGTACTTGTTAACTTTCAACTATTACCACAACTCGACCTCTCCAATATTATCCATAACTTCATCAGCACAATCCATTCTGCAAGAATACCTTGGCCGAAATAAATACTACGAAAAAGGTTACATCGTTCATTTCACTTTACGCCAAAAAGCGTGACTTCGCGTTTTGAACTTTAAACAAAGCGCGTCTCTCTTAGTTCTAAAAATACCTGCGAGATCTGAGGAATTATCTACTTTCCGTCAATCTTTCTTCTAATCCGGATCCCATCAATCATTCGCTTAGGCATTCTTTGGTGAAACCCATCCTTTCGAGGTGATGGATCTCACAGATGATAGTCCAGATGGAGAGGTTAAAATCCACAAGAAAGATTTCCATCACCCATATACTCCCTATCCAATCCAAGAAAAATTCATGCAAACCGTATACGATGTTTTGGAACAGGGAAAAATCGGGATTCTAGAAAGTCCAACGGGTACGGGCAAGAGTCTGAGTTTGATTTGTGGTAGTTTGACTTGGTTGAGGGATTTTAAGAGGAAGGAATTTGAGGGGATTTTGAATGATGGGTTTGAAAATTCAGAGGAGCCGGAGTGGATGATTGAGGCGGCGAAGGTGAGGAAGAAGAGGGAGCTGATTGGTAGGAGGGAGGAGATGGAGAGGAAGTTGGGGAGGATTAGGGAGAGGGAGAGATGTGAGAGGGATAGGATGAGTGGGAATGGCAATGGGAATATGAGGGGTGGGAAGAGGAGGAAGGTGGGAGGAGATGGGGAAGGAGATCTCGTGGGAGGAAGTAATGGCAGTAATGAGGACGAATTTTTATTAGAGGACTGGGAAAGTGATGGGGAGATTGGTGGTAGCGGGAAGAAGAAAACTGGAGACGAGGCAATCTTCTCTAAAGAGACGTTGGAGTTAAAGAAGAGTATAGGGATGTGGAGTAAGAAAGTAGAAGAGGAAGAAGAGGAGCCAGATGATGAGATGAAGGTTTTAACAAACCTCAGTGATTTTGGATCAACTACTAACATCTGATAGATTTTCTACTGCTCGAGAACTCATTCCCAGCTAACTCAATTCATTAACGAACTCCGACGTGTAGAGTTCCCGTCACCCATGCCACTAGAAGAATTTCCATCAAAGACCACAGAAAAAGATAAAGATAACCTCCATGAACACCTCAGACACCTTCCCCTCGGTTCACGCAAAAATCTCTGCATCAATCCTAAAGTAAATAAACTCAACTCAGTAACAGCAATAAACGAACGTTGTGCCGAACTTCAACAATCTTCAACCCCAAAAGAACACAAATGTCCTCATCTTCCAAATAAAGATAATAAGCCCCTCGTCAGTACTTTTCGCGATCATGCATTAGCTACCATCCGCGATATCGAAGATATGGGAGCTCTAGGAAAAGAAATCTCAATTTGTCCATACTATGCCTCACGATCTGCTATCAAACCCGCGGAAATCGTTACGCTTCCCTATCCCTTGCTTTTGCAAAAAAGCGCTAGAGAAGCATTGGGTATTAGTCTTAAAGGACATGTTGTGATAATAGATGAAGCGCATAATTTGATGGATGCGATAGCGGGGATTTATGGGACGGAGATGTCGTTGAAGGAGTTGAAATTGGCGAAAGAGATGTTGGGTAATTATTTCATGAAGTTTGCTAAGAGGTTGAAGGGGAAGAATAGGATTTATGTGGCTCAGGCTATAAGAGTTGTGGATAGTTTGATGGGTTATTTGATGAAGAGGTTGGAGGGGACGGTATGTGTTACATTTTTGGTTGTGGGTTCTATTATGAGGGTGGTGGGATATGAGGAAGATGAAGAAGTATTGAGAGATAAGTGGATGTGGATGTGCTAACAAATTGGTTAGGAAATAGATGGAGTAGTAGATCAGAAAGAACTTCTAGCCGGAAAAGGAGCCGATCAAATTGATCTCTTTAAATTAATCCGATATCTCCAAGAAAGTAAATTAGCCCGCAAAGTCGAATCCTACACCGAACACACACGAAACATAAAACAAGCATCCACAATACCACACAACAACAAAGAAACCCCCAAATCAACAACCCCCATCTTACACACCCTCACCTCACTCCTCCTCGCCCTCACCCACCCAACAACCGAAGGTCAACTCTTCTTCCTCAAATCCACATCCACATCTCCATCTCCCTCTCCCGACCTCATAACCCTGAAATTCCAACTCCTCAACCCCGCCCCACACTTCGAATCCATCGTAAGCTCCGCTCGAGCCATTATCCTAGCAGGCGGAACCATGTCCCCCTTTTCAGACTACACCTCAATCCTCTTCCCCTCCATCCCCTCGCATAAAATCACCACATTATCCTGCGGCCACGTCATTCCCAAGACTCATCTCTTCGCCAGTACAGTATCCAGAGGTCCGACTGGAATCCCTTTTAAATGGACATTTGCCAATAGAGGAAATACGGATATGATGGATGAACTAGGTAGGGTATTATTAAATGTCTGTACGATAGTTCCAGACGGCGTGGTTGTATTTTTTCCTTCTTATAACTTCCTCTCTACAATCCTCTATCGATTTTCGATACCGAGTTCTGGAACTGGAAGTGCAACTGCAACTGCAACTGGAACCGAAAAAGGAAAAGGAAAAACAATACTAGAAAGACTCTCAGAAAAAAAACCAATCTTCCAAGAATCCAAAGAAGAAAGCGTCGAAACCATCCTAGCAGCCTACGCAAAGAGTATCGCGGAGGGCAAGGGAGCATTATTATTTAGTGTCGTCGGAGGAAAACTAAGCGAGGGAATTAATTTTAGTGATGCCCTGGGGAGATGCGTCATGATTGTCGGATTACCATTTCCGAATATGCACACGGCGGAATGGAAGAGGAGGTTGAGATTTATTGAGGAGAGTGCTGTGGAGAGATTGACTTCTTTTTATCAGGAGAAGGAGAGTAATAATAAAGATGGGAATGGGAATGAGGAGGAGGGAAATGGGAAGAAGAAAGAGAACAGAGAAAAAATACAAAGAGATCAAATCCTCCAACAAGCTAAAGGCGAAGCGAGAGATTATTTTGAGAATGTGTGTATGAGAGCGGTAAATCAGTGTGTGGGGAGGGCGATTAGACATAGGGGGGATTGGGCGGGGATTTTGTTGTTGGATGAGAGGTATAAGGGGGAGAGGGTGGTGGGGAAATTGGCGGGGTGGATTAGGGAGGGGGTTTTGAGGGGGGAGGGGATGGGGATGGGGGATGCTGGGGGGTTTGGGAGGTTGATGGGGGGGTTGGGGAGGTTTTGTAGGGGGAGGCGGGAGGTTTTGTAAGGGGAGGAGGAGAGGGTGGGGTAGTCGTGGTGGAGATATGAGGAGGGGAGGAGAGGGGTTGTTTTGTTTATATTATTACATCAATTATACTAGATATACGCTAAATAATATCTTACAAAACTGAAAAATATATAAACGTACATACATTTCATAATATAGTAATCTTACATTAATTCCGATTCTTCCCGAAAATCAAACCACCCTAATAAGAATTAAATACTACTAAAACTACGAATAATAGAGCTCTAGTCTATATCAAAAACTCTATTAAGATCATCTTATCCAAATACACAATCTTATAATCCAATCATATTATTATGAACCATTATATTATTTATAAATATCTCCAAATCAAACTCTCTGCCCAATTGAAGAGATAATGAATTAACATTAAAACTAATTCGTGAAACTAATAAACGGGTATCTAAATATTGATATCAAATCCACACTAATATATTTAATATTTGTAATATTTTTAAGAAATAAATATTTGATATGTTTTACAAATATCTCGGGAAACACAGTCGGGTCTTAATTAAATAATAAATATAATTTCTTCTCGGTATTGCTGGATTTAATCTGAATTCTCTCAGCCGGGATAATTCTGAACACTTAGTTGAAAATCTAGTTTCCGTCGTTCATCAGCTTAGCTACAAACATCTACAGCTAACCACTATGACATCCCTAATCATGAGGAAATAAATTCCTAATCCCCCTCCAAGACATCAATTCAAATCCAGCGGTAACATATCAACAACCGAGCAAACTCTTCTAAAATGTCGAGGAACCCATAGATCATAAATATTCCTAACAAAAGTATAAGCCGTCCATCTCTCATCTCGACAAGAAGTAGGCCGAATACTAAAAGGCGCAATCAAATGACGATAAAATCTAGTCTCATCTCCATCAATCACGATATAATGGCCCCAAATTCCCACATCCGCATAGCTGTGAGATATCGAAAACCCATTAATCTCCCTACGTAGTTCGTTTTCTCGACCAACTAGATGGAAGAGTTTGTATATACCTCCCAAGGCAATAAATTGAGTGTAAGCATTTTGTCGATCTGCTATGCTAACATCGCCTGATGCGGACTGTACCTCGCTGGAAAGAAACGGGAAATACATATTATATGTTGGAGCCAGCCAGGAGATATCAGTAAGTGGATCGCCGATGAAAATTTGTAATTTTTGAAGCTGTTCTCAACTGAATGCCGATCGCTTAAACCCAAGACTAAAATCTGGTTGTGGACGAAGACCAGAACGTGAACCAGAGGGGTAGATAAAAGTGTGAGAGTTGATCCAACATTCATTGGTAGTCTCGAGGAGAATATTTAAGTGATCGGCTCCGAGACAAGCTAATATCTCAGCTGAGGGAACAATGGGCTGTGCAATGTCGCGAACCACTCTAGACTTGTTTGCACGTCTCGTATTTGAGAGAGTCTTTTGAAGAAACTTATCATCAGAGAATAGGGTATTTTCAGGTGGTAGCTGTGGTGAATTCCGAAGCGTATCACAAAGCCTTTTACTCTCAGCAGTAATGCCTTCACGGGATTCGTCCATAAAACTACCAAATTCTTCCATTTGTAATTCGAAATATGGATGTATATATGGAGCATTCTTCCTTTCCTAGGAATTTAGACTGCCTTGCAATTCAGATGGAGATGTTTCTATATCCAAACTAGCATCTGAGCCTTTACGACTTAGGGTTCTTTTTTGGGCATGCATATACTTAGCCATATTCCGAAACGATTCTATCGTTTCCATTGACATCTCTTCTTCTTCTGTCGGCCAGGTTCCATTATCTCTCCAAAATTGTACTCGAGCTTCACTAAGTGTCTTCCAAACTACAGGTGAAGATGTTCGTACTCGTTTTGCAGACGGTTCAACCACATCGTCAGAAGGTGCCTCATGTTTCCGGCTTGACATACGGATGACCCTCTCCTCGGTGGCTGAAGATGTTGAGAAATCAGCCATGATAATTGGATCGAAGTATTGAAGTGCTCATATGTGTTATGCCCTAATTTGAAGAGGAGTTTGGAGTTAGATATGATCGTCTTAACGTTGTAGGAAGTTAAAGATAACAGAAAACCAGCCAAGTAGGGTAATATAAAGTAGCTTGTCAGTAAATATGCTGAATCAGCACATTGTACACCTGTCTCATCGCACTAATCCCATTCAGGTCTAATATTTCTCGTCAAATCGGAAATAACGGGAATACGGAGAAGGAAACTACTTAAAAGTAATCATACTCTGCACTAATTAGAACTACTCGTAGTATAACCTTCGATAATTTAATCTCAAATATGAAGTATCATGGGAAATGAAATCTCGAATTTATTTGTGTAAGCATAAAGCGTCCGCGATTATATTAGCAGCTACATCTCAGCCAGATATCCTTTCCCAAGCCCATTATTTTACAGGAGTTATCTATTCTCCTGACTATTCTCCTCCTCATCACATAAATCTTTCATCTTTTTTCCATTCCCATCCATAGTAGAAAAGCAAGCAAACAAGCAAAAATTTATATCATATCCCTCCAACATCCATTCTCAACCCTCCTCCTCATCCCCTTCAATCCCCGCCCTCTCCCAAATTTCCTCCCTCCCCATCCCCTCCAACAAAACCCCCTCTGCATTCAAAAAACCCCTCTTCCTAATCCCCCTCATCCGTCCCCAATAACTCAATTCTCTCGCTACCCTCTCCACCTCCTCCTTCTTCACCACTTTCACTCCTCCCTCCCTCAATCCTCTCAATCTCTCCTCCTTCTCTCTCTTCCCCTCCTCCAATCTCTCAATCCTCTCCTTCAACTCCCCAATTCCTAATTCTTTTTCCAATCCCCCAAGTTTAATATTAAGTTTCTTAACATCCATTCTCAATTCCGGAATTCTAGCTCGTAAATTCTCGATTTCAGTATCCATAGCTGCGAGTTCTTCGGGTGAAAGAGTAGAGGGAGATTGTAATGCCCAGTATACCCATTGAGAACCTTTTCCATCACCATTTGTACCTTTTCCATTGATGAGACCGGAGTTGCTTAGTTCTTTTAAAAGTTTATCGGTGAGGGTTTTGGTTACCTGGGATTGTTAGTACTCGTCGCATCTCTCTTGTTGCTTTAATACAAACGGAGGATATGAGACGAGGTGGGAGGTGAGATGAGATGAGCTGAAAAGATGAGATTACAGAAAGAAAAGAAGTTGATACATACCTTGCCATGTAAATTCCCGCTAACATCCCCCGCACTAAAAGGTCTATTCTCCCTAATCAAATACTCCATCAAAACCTCCTGTGCCTCATCCCCAGTAACTGCTTTTACTTTCTCCTTCCCATCTTTACCTATTAATTTAGCCTCTTTAGTTTCTTTAATCTCCTTCGTGTCCTTCACCTCCTTCCCATCTTTAGCACCAACCTTTCCCTTAGACTCTTTACCCTCCTTATCCTTCGCAAGAACTTTTTCCTTGACAGAGGTTTTAGCTTTGGATGTTGCTTTAACTTTCTCACTTTTCTCAGTCTTTTCGACTTTAGGTTTTTTGGATTTGGGCTTGATGGGTGTAGCTGATGCGGTAGAGGGAAGGGATGCAATTGATGAGACGTCGAAGTTATCATCTGGGATAGAAGATTCAGTTGGGGGGTCAAGAAGAGACTTTTTGCGTTTGGGTGGCATGGTGATATTTTTGGTGAATGGTGTTTATAACTGGAAGTCCTAAACACGGGGTGTTGCTGTCGAGACCTGCAGATCAGCAGGGTGGTGTTTAAGAATAAAAATCTCAGATACGAAGATGGTTGATTTCGACGCCTGGTAGAGCTGAGTGATGTTTTTGAACTGAAGTTTTGAACACGAGGTATTCCTGTCCAGGTCCATAAAGCTTCGTAAAATCCACGAAAACAAATCTCAATAACAATCCTAATCCCGATCCCCAGCTTCAAGAAAATCAATATCAATGATCAAAGAAAGACCTAATGAACCCTCAATCATCCATCCGTCTTCAAAACGAGTTTCAATTCCATAAAAACCGTAAAAACCACAATCCCTAGTAAAAGATATATATCTAGAAGATTCTCCTCTCAATATCTGAAAATAAGAGTCAGAATTGGAGTTGGAGTCAAATCTATCTTAAAAATATGATGATGCAGAAGATAAAAGTGAACTTTCTTCGATTTTCGATTTTCCGTATTCATCACACAGCCGAATCAAGTAAGATTACCTACTCAGATTCTCAGATTCTTCCTCTCCCTCTCCCTCTTCCCAGATAATGCACAAGGCACATTAATCCTCTCCATATTCCATCCGCAGCATAGATAAAAAGAAAAAAAAGAGAGGAATAAATATAACTACTACCCCCTACCCATCTCCTCCATAAACACTCATCTTCATCAGCATTAATACCTACCTACCTACCTACCTATCTAATATTACTATTGCTTTAGAAATCCGCATCTTATTATTCACCTCCATCTCCATTTTGACTACCACCTTCATCATCATCACTTCATCATCTCCAAACTCTAAATATCAAAATGTAATTTAAGACTTAGTACAATTATTCAACCCAAATCCAAATCTAAATCCAACAAAAATCCACAGCAACATAAAATAACAATACAAGAACATATCTAGATACCTACTACAGTAATTCCCAGTCAATATCATCATCTCCCTCCCCCTCCCTCTCACCCAAATAACATAAAACCTTACCTCTCTTCCCCCCTCCCAAAAACACCCACACACCCACACACACACAAATCATCATCATCCCAAAAAACCCCCAATACCCAAAATAAAAACAGATATCATAAATTTTTAATTACTATTTCAACAAAGAAATACATAGCATACATAGCATACATAGCATACATAAAAACATAGATAGAAACATAGATACATACACCCAGCTATACTACCCAAATAGATACCTAGACTAATTTCGAAATCTCACAGCTAGCTAGCTAGCTACGTACCTACCGAGTACCTAGTACCTAATCTAGATAGATAGTTCCCAACAAGACACCCTATTCTGAGAACTTCTTCATTTCTTCACATATTGAAGAACTAAAAGAAGACGACGGAGATGCTAGTCTAATACATAACTGGAAATTCCAAACTATCCCAATACGAAATGCATGTATATGTATATGTTTACGAATATACGAACATACGACTATATGCATAAATGTAAGTAAAAAAATGCCATGAATGCTTCCTCCAAAAACTATTCACATTGTCCATTCGCCATGCTTTATAAATCCCTAAATTTTATAATCCTCAAATGTAACATCACATTACATAACGACCTATAATATTATCAGTAACAAGTCAAATAAAATATAAGGTAAACTGAAAAACTTACACAATCTCCTTCACTCTTGGTTTGTGGAATACCCATCTCCTCAAATGTTGCAGGTCCCTTTTTAGCAGGCGCTGATGGTTTTGCTGGAGCTGCTGCTGGAGCAGGAGTAGAAGCTGATGAAATTGATGATTGTCTCGAGTCACCACCTTGTGAGGACATCGTGTTACCCATTGGCCTATTAGGAGTTCTACTTGCCGTGGATGAAGCAGCCGAAACTGGTGTCATGGAAGCATTTCGTGGTGGTGCAACATTTTGACCCGGACCTGGTCTAGAACCGTATGTGGATTGTGCAGATTGGAAAGACTGAACAGATTGTGCAGATTGTGCGGTTCCAGGTCTCGAATTAGACGTTGTAGGTCTTTGCTGTGGATTTTGGTAGCCAGATTCAAAGCTTAGTGGAGGAATGTTTGGAGCGCGACTAGGTGATGGTGATGGATTGCGACCCTGTGAAGACATTGTGCCCATAGGAGATGATGATCTTATAGGCTCTGTGTTTTGATGGGTAATTCCCAAATGTGGTGGTGGTGGTTGCTGCTGCTGAGGGCGAACACCAAAAGCAGAAGATGGTCGATCTGCGACTGGAGTTGAACTCGAGGTTGATTGTCGCAATCCATCTTGTGGCAGATATCTTGGGTAACCAGGACTAATTTTAGCACTACCGCGATTACCAGAACCAAAATCATCCTCTGGATATGGTGCAATTGAAATTGGTCGAATGCCTGCTGGAGCACCCTTTTTAACTTTAGGTTTCTGACTATGTGCGGGAGGCATTGGCGATGAGATATCTTCTGTCATGGTTGGCATTGGTGGAGCATTAGCTTGATTGAATCTCTCGGGTCTTCCTCCTCTTCGAGAGCCATGCGTTGACTTGATACGTTGAATCGCTGCGCCGTGGTCGCCCTTGGAAAGAGTATGGTTCGCTCTGATGCTATCAATTCTTCCCAAAGCATCCTGATTACCATGCTTGGCAGCCTTATCATACCATTGTGAAGCTATCTCAAGATTCTTTTTGACATACATTCCAATTTCATAGAAGTAGCCCATGGCGAACTCGGCTGTGGCCATCTCTGTCTCAGCGGCACGTTGAGCATATGTGTAGGCGAGCTCCTCATTCTTTTCGAAAATACCTTCATATCCACAAAGAAACCATTTGCTGATAGCCATATCGGCTTCGGGTTCTCCTTGTCTAGCAGCAAGGGCGTTGTAATGTAACGAAAGAGCTGGATCAAACTCGCAGCCAAATAGACAAAGTTCATAGGCTTGAGCCATCTTGAGTTGTGCTTTGGCAAATCCGAGGTAAGCAGCTTTTTCAACAAACATCTTGGCTTCGTTCAAATCGTATGGTAGGTATTCATCGGGCATGGTAATATTGGGTAACTCTCTGGCTAGCAGCATTCCGTAAACGTAAGCACCCTGAGGGGCATTCTCATCCGCCGTGTCGGCTGCGAATTGAATCAAATCTATACCCCTAGCATAATCTTGTTGCATGCCACATTGACCAAGCAAAGTAGCCATTCCAAGCCTATAGCTGGCCGCAGAATCCTTCAGGTATACACCTCTTTGGTAATGTTCGACGGCTTTCGTAGGGTTCATGGTATTTTCGAATTGCATTCCTATTCGGTATTCTGCTCGAGCGTATCCTTTCTGTGCAGCTCGCTGATAACCTTGGAACGATTCCTTTTTATCCATTCGATACCCAAATTTACCAAACTCTAGCCACATCGCCTTCATAAATTCTGCCTTGGGATGTTGTTGTTCTGCGAGGAAGTTGACAATGCTTATCGCATCAACCCGTAATTGATGCTCAACCTTTGGTGTCGGAGCTCGCGAGTCATCGACCTTTCGCTCATAAGTACTGCTGGCTACTTCCACCCAAGACAGTGCATCTTGAGCCCATGCCAATTGCATCTCTGGATCGGTAGATTTCAAAACCATTGGTCTCGCTCTCTCTAAGACTTCTTCTTTATCCTCATCTGACAAAGGTACATTCTGACCTGCGTTTCGGGGTTTTGGAAATGGCGAAAACCTAGGGGAGTCAGGCTGGGATCGTGGCGCACCATAAGGCCCCTTCAAATTCTGATATATTGCTGCATTTGTATGTTCGTAGTTTGCTGTGTAACCCGGTCCGCTGTTTCGATTGCTATGACTTGATCTCGAAGATTCGCTGGTCCCTTGCTGTAAATTGTCATTATACGATTGAACAGATGAAAAGGCAGAATGCGAGCTTACTCGATATCCATCATTTAATTCAAGGTTCGCAAGACTATCTTGCATATTGTTTGGAACTTCTGGCATGATTCTATGATTCTCATTAGTGACGTTCATCGCAAGTTAATGCTTGTCGAATGAAAATGCCACACCATATAACCATTTTCCTTTCGTAAATCGAACAATGAAAATTAAAATCATACCTTTGTGGCATTGGAGACACTACATTAGGAGGCATATAAAAGTCATCCCCTCCACCTGGATAGAACGTCGCCCCGACATTGGGGTTCTGTTGATAACCCCCACCATAGCCGTTCATATTGTTGTTATTGGAATTCTGAGTTGTAGGATTGTTTAAACTGGCACCGCGAGGAGGAGGCTGATATGAATCTGGATTTCAAGATCGGATCATTAGCTAGATTCGATGAATTTATAAGAGGCGACACAAAATTCGCGATGGTCAAGTCGTGGCAGGTATGTGAATGTGAATGTGAATATCGTATAAATAAATCCCAAAAGATAGAAGTAAGAAAGCTGTGAATGCTAGCTAGAAGGATTACTATGCACGTAGTATCACAGCCGGACAACAACGGAAAAGCAAGCTTTGCGACTAATGAATGCCTTGCGCCTCTCTCCCGAAAAAGCTGTTCAAGGACAAAGCTGGTAATACGGTATTTATACTTTTTCTCTTTTTTAAACCCCTTCACATTCTGATGACGTTTCGTTTCGTTTTGTTTCGTATACCGTATTCCACCCTCTCCCACTTCATATATTCCGGATCCCCTTGATATATGTGATATTGCTATTTGAAAGTCCAATCAATAAAATCTTGATAACGTACCTTGTGGTCCGTTGGGGTAATTTTGTGTTTGTTTCCAGCCTGCTCGTGCAGGTTGATATTCCCCTTGACTTTCTTGAGAATAATCATCATAAGCGCTGTTGTGATATGACATGGCTACCGAGGCTCGTGGCGGAAACTCTTCTTGGAAATCGAAATCGAAATCGAAACCGGAATCTGCAGAATCTCCGGTATATTTTTAATATCCTGGAAGTTTCTGCGTATCAAGAGTTTAAATATATTATTGGCCTAAAACTGTTGACAACTTGGAGATGGTTGTTGCGGAATATCTTGGGTTTGTTTTTCTGCTTGTTCTTTTTCTATTTCCCTACAGCAAGATGATGGGAAAAAGAGTGTCCACTGTCAAGACGGTCAAGTTGGATTTCCAGGAATATCAACAGCAGTAGGAAGAAATCGAAAAGAGTTTCTTTACAAAGTTGCGAGCAGAGTGAGAAGTACCAGGTAGTTGTTGATATGTATTGTACGGAGGATAGTATGGTTTTCCAACTTATTTCCCCTGTTCGACAGAACATCATTCTCATGACAGAATGATTCACTTGTTAGACCCTCCCCCCGAGACACATCACCCAAGAAGATTTCACTGTATGTCTGTATGTACTCCATTTTCATCAGGAAAAGTAAAATGAGATAAAATGGCTGAGCATTTTGCTGGACAAATCGTTGGCAATATGTGGATCTTCTCCCAAGATTACCAAGAACTTTTCCAATCTCCCTATCGATTTTCAATTTACCTTTTAATAAGTCTACCTATATAATCAATACACGCGGCCCTTTGGCTCAATTCCCCCTGAGACATATAATTATTTATTGTTTAGGAGTAGGAGATATAAATTAATCTTTTTCATCACATTTTTTCACGATATCAATATCTGAGCGACAGGAAGGTATACTGCTGGGTATTTAAGTATTTGTTTCCAGCTTCTGCACAGCAAATCATTACCGATGTACGCCATCCTGCATCTGCATCGTATTGCATCAACCTTCCATTCCTTCTCAACTTCTTCTATCAATGAAGCGAACAAATACCGACCTACCCCCTTCTCTTTATCTGAATGTTTTGCAGAAAAAAGGAATGCTATTGGAACATGCTAAGCTTTGATCGACACAGGCAACAGATGCCCAATATCCTACCTTCTATCTTCCACCCTTGTTCTTTCGGAAATTTGACCCGTTTGGAAAGTATTGGGTAATTTGATGCCAACCGGACATAGTCAGATTTAGGTAATAAACGGCATTGAAGATAGTATTGAGGCTGAGTATCAGGCTTTTTCCCCTCAGCAGGAAGGGTTGTATGAAGTGAAAAGTACATAAAGTCTTACGCCCCCGATGACCAGCTCATCATCAATCAACAACCCCCTCTCTCATCGACACAACCTTCGAGAAGTACGGCATGTGCAGAGTAAAAGCCCAACATATCATTCAAACTGAAGCTAAAAGAATTACCGATAAATCTGGGTCGAAATATATCAACACAAAACAAAAATCCTTGGTTCGGGTTTACTCCAAGTGGACCTGTCAAATATTCGAGAACATTACAAGGGTTTGGAAAAGATATGACCTAGTGATTTCGGCTGATCGGAAGTGTATTGCGGTATGGGGCATTGGGACTGATATTCCTTGATTAGGGAAAGTGGAAGAAAAGGGGGTGGCATTCGATATACTAATTTGACAAAGAATTGGGATAAGGACACAAAAAAGTTTAGTTTGATTTTTGCTCTCGTACAAGATCCGAATTATACTTTTGAGGAATGGGAAACTAAGGTTATGCACTATTTTTAGATGTTATGCATGGCATGCTTCTGGAATGCTTCTAGAGTGCGGGGAACGACTAGAAAGTTTTTTTCATCAACGTAAAATTCACTCCTATGCAGTAATATCTCATTAATTCCAAGAGAAGAATTCGATGGAGTATAGTTAGTACTCTTTAATTCCTCTTACCTCAAGTTATGGGCTGAAGTACGTCGATAGCAGAACTAAACACGTTGAAGAGACTAGGTATCTTCTAAATATATCCGCTGAACTGCTTAGCCGCAAGCTTCTTATAGTGACATCTTTCGATTTTATCTTCTTCCGTTCACATCCTTGATTGCCAAAACGATCAACATTGAAGAGAATCTAAGCTATATAATATCAGTCTATACCATAGGAGCACTCGATTTCCACCGCCAGATACCCAGAACTCATAGTCTTTTCTGCAGTGTAGTATACATCAGCATTGAGGCCGAACATATGGATATGGAATCTATGCTCTAGAAATACTATTCTAGTTTTCTGAAAATGACAATCGCCGCAATGTTACGAGGTTTGCCGTCTAGATCACGTGGAAGTGCTCTAGGCTCTCGAAGTAGGTTTATAACTAGGCGTCAAGCAGGGACTTAAGTAATGACAATAATGATATGCAATTCGTAACTAATAGTAGAGTATACTAAATGATTGATCTTGAGCACGAAGCTCTATACAAAGGAAATCTATCATGATTATATAGACCTTCGTACTATACATCCTATCGCCTCCCATTATGTCCTACTGCCTGTAGTTGAGTGATTCTAGATGGGAAAATATTGGGTTATGTGACCATAAGCTTAGTCACCTGAGTAGCTGTTAGGATTGGTCGTAACGATTTATTATTTATTATTTATTATTTATTATTTATTATTTATTATTTATTATTTATTATTTATTATTTATTATTTATTATTTATTATTTATTATTTATTATTGTTACGTTGTAACATTATAAACTATTATCATATGTTATAGGATCATATGAATAGTCTTGTGAGGGAGCGAGGGAGCGAAGGAGCGAGATTCGAATCTCGCTCCTTCGC